GCTTCGTCCCACCGTTGAAGCTTCTCGAACCATGTTTCCTTGAGCTCCACATCACGATACGCCTGCGCTTTGCGAAGGATACCAATGGCAGCGTCAGACTGCTGAAGCTGGTTGTTAATGGTAATTAAGGCTTCAACCGCACCCGAGTTCTGATCTTGCTCGAACTCGAGTTCTTTGTAGTGAAGAGCTTTAGCAAAAGCATGACACTTTGCAGCATACTTCCCAAGAGTGCGGATGTCGATGGGAAGAGCCTTGTCATCGTGCTCCATGAATTCGGCCAAATTGAGGAGAATTTGCAAAATCTCCGGGGAGATGTTGGGAGAGGTAAGCGCCTTTTCGATTGAGCGGACGAGCTCTTCTTGGTATTGATCATACAACTCAGTCCAACACGAAACGAAGGCAGCATTGAAAAGGTCCCTTGAAAGCGGCTGGTAGATTCCGGCCAAGCTAGCACATGCACGCAATGCCGGGGACGGGGATTCCTTCAACAGCTCAATGCTGAAACGGCGTATCCATTCCTGCCAATCATCACGAGTGGACTTCTGCGAAGCATCCCACGCATTCTTGAGATGTTGCTGATTCACAACAATCTTTTTTTGTCCAATCTCGGAAAAATTGGTATCGTCCGTGGGGAAAGTATAGACCTCTTCTGGATTGAGATCCTGCGGAAGTGGGTCGCCCTTCTGGAGTTTCGTCACCAGGATCTGGTAGTTCACATGCACGATCTGATTGGTTTTGAGGACCTTGTTGAGAAGATGAATGTAATGGGTGAAGTCCTGTCCCAGCTGGAAAATGAGAGCACAAATGCAGTCCATCGCGGCTTGACGCAGCACACGATCACCGCTAGCCACGACCCGTGATAGAGAATGAACCATTAGGGATGCAAAGTCAGAGACATTGACTTGCCGCGATAATTTTGTCAAGCTATCAATAGCCGATTTGCGGATGCTCTGGGGATTTTGTGGCCGATCGAACAAACGGACAATGGAAGGAATGATGAGATGCATGTATTCCTCTCCACTTGTGCCGAATATCAAAAGAGCATGGAGAATCTTCTCGGAGGGCTGTCGACGAGGCGAGGTGTCTTTATCAAGCGTATCGAGCATCAAAGGGATCAGGCCAGCAAGATACTTCCTGAATTCTCCTTCCAGCGACCTAGCAATTGCCTCGACCAAGGAAATAATCGTACCCTGGATTTGATATGAAGCATCCCAGAAGTCTCTAATAACCTCGATTATCTCTGGCAAGAAAGTACGAATATGCTGTCGCACGATATTCACCAGGATTGCCATCTGATTGAAATAGGGCTCAAGACGGCTAGCAGGAGCGCTTCTTATGACCAAGATGAACCCTGGAATAATTTGTCCAAGGAATGGGACACACTTCAGACCCAGAGTCTTGAAAATTGTGACGATGGCATCAATGACAGCTGAGTGATATTGCGCCAGGGAGTTTTCCCGCAAAATGTTCTGCATCAAAGTATGGATTACCACTGTGGGATAATACTCCTCATTGGAGGGCGTGAGGCCCTGCATAATGAGGGCAACATCAGAAACATTTTGTATTTCGTTGATATGATGTACGTCAGGTTCAATCTCGCTGATCTGTTGGTACTTGTAGGGGTCGAGGGCACCGAGGACTCCGAGAAGCTTGATGGTCTCCTTGCGTAGAGAGCCTGTCTGTTCCGTTTTGATGATGTTGATGAGCACTCCGAGAAGATGGGGGTATTCCATGTATGGCTCGATAACATAGCCTGAATTACTGGCCAGCTGTCCTAATGTCCGAAGCGCAGCTTCACGTTTGTTATGCGACGAAAGGTCCTGGAGTGAGTCCAGAATAATTGGCATAATCTGCGGCAAATATTGTCTCATCTCATGGCCGCCGACATTGGCGAGCTCACCGACTGCCTTCAAAGTAGTGGCAGCAACACCGGGATTAATGTCTGTTGTTTTGGGCAACAATGCGGTCACCATGGGATCAACATATGACCTGATCAATTTCGTCGCATTCGAGACAAACAAGCTGATGAGTTGAGCCGTTTCCTCCTTCTGCCGGGCAGTATTTGCGAAGCCAAGGCCAGTGAGAAGATTGACCAGCAGTTTTCGGAGTGGCGGGAAGACATAAGCAGGGTTAACGCTGGAAAGTCGACCGATAATGCAGATTGCGGCTTCTTTGACATCGAAAACCTCATCATTGACTGCTAAGAACAAACATCGAATATTCTCTGGTCGTGCCAAGTGCCGATCAAATTTGCGGTCTAATGACCACAAGACAGTGCGCCGGATTTCAGGATCAGGGTCTCCGATACCCACAGTCAACAGCTTATCAATAACCTCGCTGACAACTTGAATAGAGTGTCCACTGGTTTGATTGATGATCGGATCGTGAACGAACAGCTGACAGCATGTAAGAGCGGATGCCTTTCGAATCTCGGGATTATCATTTTCCACGTAGTTGATAGCGACATCACGCACGAACTCGTTTAATATGTGCCCAGAGAAATCAAAGCTGCCCAGTGTGTGAAGTGCCAATGCGATATCAGAATCGGAGTGAAGCTCATTGGGTGCAAAGTCTTTTGCGAATGATGGCATAGGAGGCAGTCGGTTTTCAGGACACCCGAGGGGCCGGAATGGCGTTCCACAAAGGATGATACTCAACATATCAAGAAGCTTTTCCTGGATCATAGGTTTGATGGGAGGAATGTAATGGGCCATGTCGACCAGAGCCTGTGTTAATGATTTGCTCAGTCCACAGGCGAAAATGGGATCCAGGAGAGCTTCCATGTATTTGCTGAGCGCCTGTCCCACTGCGAGGGACAGCATGCTGATGCACTCAAACATCGGCGCCTCGTTAACTCCTGACCGATTCCTCGCCTTCATTGCAAGCCCCTCTCGGATGTAGATGATGATGCCGTCGAGATATTGGCCGATAGCGGTGCCCACTGCATTGGCAATCTTTCCAATGGCGATGAAGGCGGAGTTCCTCTCTTTGTCTCTCTTGAGTTGCGCTTGGAGGTAGACCATGAATTTGTGTAGATAGATCTCAGTGAAATCGGTGGGTGCATATGAGGCAAGAATGGGAATAGTGAGGACGACTTCGGTGCGAATCTTCGGGTCGCGATGGTCCTTGAGACGAAGGATGATTTCGCAAGCATCCCGATAATGTTCTTTCATGAACATCGTGCCCTTCAAGATCAACTCTTTGATGATCAAAATGGAGCCATGGATCCAGTCGACGTTATGGGACTTCAAGCCCAGAAGTGCTTCGTCGTGTATCCGTGCAAACCATGATTGACGGACTTGAGAATCGCGAGCCACGATTATCTCAAAGCATTCCCCAACGGCCTCGGCGGCGGTCTCGCGGATGAGTACTTTTGGGTCTCGAAGGGCGACCCAAACAAGCTCAAAAACCTGCGGAACGAAGCCGTAGAGGAGTGTTGGTGAGCCCTTGGCCAGTTCCCTGATTACAAGAACTGCAGCAAACCGCCGACTTTCCTGGCGCTCCGATTGTAGCCATTCTAATGCGGATTGTATTTCGCTTTCGACCAGTTCTGCGGTTAGAGCCCCGCCTGGCTTCGCGAGTCGGCCCAGCGATCGGGCCGCGTACACCAGGACCGCGTTATCATTGCTGCGAAGGGCGCTGCGCAAGTAACTGGCAAATCTGGTCGTTTTCTGAGCCGCATCAACTCCGTCAAAGTCAATGAGCCGATCGAGTGCTAACAAGCCACCGATTCTTTCGTTTGCGTCGCTGCCGTTGACCACGAGTTGAGCGATACGTTGGCTAACAGCGTTGTAAAATTCCACGAACTTCTCCGATGGCCAGTCTGCACAAGGAAATATGTTAGCTAGTAAGATGTCTTGGAATTCAACCGTTAATACCTCTAGACACGGAGAGGACGTTCTCGTAGAGCTCGTATGCAGCTCTGGCCCTGGCCTCCTCATTCTTTGACTTGAGCTCCACGAACAACCTTTGGGTCACGTCTGAGATTGCGCCTGCTTGGGCCATATTTGCAAATCACACCCCAGGGTGGACATTGGAATACAAGGTCTAGGCCATAAAATAAGAAGACGCGGAGCGCATAAAGTTGGATGGTAGAGGGAGGGTCATGTGTGAGGCTTGGAGAAGGTCGATGGGTGCACGGACCACGTTTGGAGTTCCCGACTCTCTGTGCGACTCTGACACCCTCGGCCATCTACAACCACTCTATAAGTAATCACTACGAACTATCTTGGTGTTTATTTTGAATTTAGTGCTTGGTATACTATAGATAACTCCCGGTGTTTGAAATTTGATATGTCTGAAAAGTCATCTTATCCTCAGGAAATACGTCACGTCGCTTCAGGTGCTAACATTTGTGCGTGCTCGATCATATAGAAAGACGACCCAAAAGGCATCTAGTGCTGAATGCTTGTCTTCAAGATAAAGTCAAAGACAGAGGCCACATAAGCAACCGACTTCTTATCATTGAGATTTTACGGCGCACAGGTTTGCTTGCATCTATAAGTGGGACATACCTTGTTCAATCTTTTTGTCAAGGTGGATTCAGCCTCGCGATAGGACAAATACTCAAGTGTTTGGTATCTTTAAGCAAAATTGCTTGGTCTTAAGCTTCTAGCATAATTACATAGTGTCAGTTACTATGCGATAAATCACCTTGACTCGTACTACTATCATATTACTCGATGTAATCCGCCTGCATGCTATCCGATTAATCGATGCCCGGACTAGCACCTAAATGGACTCGAACTCCTTGGAAATTTTTGGTGCTTTACACTTAGATACTGCAAAATTACTTCAGATCACCATAAATTTATGTAAAGGTGTTTGCTTTTGCACGTTAAACGGGGTACCCATTTGGATCTTCCAAGGTTGGCCAGGGTAAGGTTGACGCCACGAGCGGGCGGGTTTGATGACTAAGACCTGGCGAGCCCTGGCCTGCCCACATTTTGATCCATCAACTTCGCTGTCCCGACAACGCCTCCCATGGCCAGAAATGAAAAATGTCTTCGCGGGACTCCAGCTCCTCTAGTGGAACAAATAAGTTTGCATTCGTGACAGGGAACATTCATTCAGAAGCTCGGAGCCATGCTATGAAGGAACACTGGAAGCGGCGACATCAGCGCAATAAAGAGGCAAAAGCATATCACCAGAGAAATTCATCGCGAAATTTGCCTCTCCGTTCAAAGAACCGCGCTAGTGAAGATGCGAGTACATCTTCGGGGTTGCCAGAGGTTGGGGATATGGACATTGGCAGGAATCAAGAGGAATCTACTAGCATTTCCGCCCAGCTGCTATGTGGTCTGAGTTCTGCGCTGTCAATCTCGAGGCCTGATCCGTTCCAGACGTGTCCTGTTCACCTGACGAGCCAGCACCAAAAGCTTTTGCATCACTGTGCGCATGAGGATTTCAGACCTTGCTATATGTGGAAATCTTGCTGACGGGGGTCGTAGGGATAAGCACTCATGCGGCTATGATGTTTGCAGACCTGAATGTCACCGAGTTCAATCCGATGAAAGATGTTTGGTTCCCGCTGGACCTCTCAAATGAATCGTCTTTCAACTGCATCATGGCGCATTCAGCTGCGCACTTATATCATTTATACGCTGGAACTCCCCCGCGACGAGGGTCGAAATCGTTTGATGCCTTGAAATATAAGATCGAGGCTGTCAGGATACTACGCTTTTGGCTTAGTGATCCCAAGAAGGAGCTAAGCGATGACGCTTTTGCTGCTGTGGTTCGTCTGCTTACATTCGAGGTGTGTCAACTAATAGCAATATCCTCTGTGTGAGACTAGCTGATCGCATTTGACCTAGCGATACTGGGGCACGGTGGAAGATTGGAAAATCCACCGTGATGGCTTACAAAGAATGATCGACGCCAAAGGAGGAGTTGAAGCGCTCCACAGAAATTGGCGCTTGCAACTTGTGGTTTACCTGTTAGTGCAGATGGTCAAAAGGATAAAGAAGTTGCGATACTGAATATTTGCAGTGTTTCGTTAATGTCACGACCGTCATGGCTCGAGTCCACGAACAACCTCGAACGACTCTCTCGTCCTCTTTTATCGCCCAACGCTACGCAGAACCCCTTATCTTGCGATGTTCAAAAGGTCCGCTGCCTTTGGCTGATATCATTCATCCAAGATATGAGAACATTCATGGGATCAGTCTACACTAGAGGTCTCTCTGCGTATCCCTTCACTCATGCCGCCGTAGGCCTGTTGCGTGAGAATTTTCTGCTCTCTATTGATCCTTCTACCCATGAGTATCACAATACAGAGTGGGAAGACGAAATGCTATGGTGTTTATTTTGCATTAGTGTCCTAATGCAGGAGTCAATCTCCGCCCTGTCAGATCAGGATTTAACAGCATCCAATGGACCGAGCACACTACAAGGATTGGAGATATCCCTAAGGCACTCTCATCATATGTGGGGGCGCTCAATCCACCACTTGCGCTCCATCTTATACGAAAGCCTGACAAGGCTCGTTGAGGAAGGGCAATACAAGATGAATTATTTTATGGACCTGGTGCAGGTTCTGGGAACCTTGAGTTTGGAAGCGCGCCAAGGAGTCGAGAAATGTCTTCTCAATTTGCTTTACTGCCTGGGGAATAACAAAACCAGCGCGCTATTCGTTGAAGATGGATGGTCGCCGGATTCGCTTCTGTCGTCAATGCGCGGGCGTTAGAGTATGCAGCTGGATTTATTATTATATGTAAGTACATCACGAACGTTAGAAATAGAATAAGCAGGGCGGAGTCATGAAGGGTTCTTTCAGTAATATCCTTCGAAGCAAGAGAACTGCATCAAAGCTCCAAAGTTCGAACCGTCCTCTTCGAGATGCTCATCTTCAAGGTATTCTTTGAGGCTTTCGTCGTCTTTCTTCAGATCGGGGCGGAACCCTCTCTCGTCGCCCGTACTTGTCCTCGGTCGGCTGGCCCTCGTTTTCATGGTCGTTTTGCTGTGACCGTTATGGTCGCTCGGGTTCTTACCACAAAAACACTCCTTGTGCTTGGTGGGCTGCTGAGTATTAATCATCATATCTCGGCTTAGCATTTCAGGATGGAAGACTGAATGAGTGGCCGAATCACGAACCGTGTGGCTATTAACTATTCTGTCAGAATCTAGGATGAATTCATCCCTGATACAGATGGGTCACGTGATTGATCAGGCTGGTTTTACTGCAGAAAGACCAACTCAGTGGTTTTTCGCCTTTCATTTCATTTTGTTTGTTTTTGATTACTCCAGTAATGATCATTCCAAGCCACAATTACTAACAAAAATTCGAACAAGCTTAGTCTTATATCTGTAATGAAAAACATAGTTGCCATACTGTCAATTTGATAGAGAGTCAATTTGATAGATACAAGTCCACATGTGCCTAATTCATCACCCTAAAACACCCAAAATTATATGGCCTAAGTCCACCCGAAATGACTTATTTGTACAAGTCAGAATGGTCACGCTTAATAGCATCGGCACCCTTCTCCGCAATCATGTAAACGGAGTTCTGAATCCGACAGTCGGGAATGACAGGGATACAAGACGCGTCGATTACACGAAGGTTCTTGATGCCGTGAACCTTGAGGCCGGGATCCACCACACCTTGTTGGATGTTCTTGGACAGGCGGGCGGTACCGCAAGGATGGAATGAGGTCTGGGAGCGATCGAGCACGACTCTCTTCATGAGCTTGTCATCGTGCAGCGGCATCGGCCAGGGGTACTCGTCCTCAACGATGTCCTTGAAGCCCTCGCCATTGAGGAGGATATCATAGGCATACCGGATACCCTCGCGAATGGCAATAATGTCGAGGTCATTGTTGAAGTAGTTCAGATTGATATTGGCTTGCTGCAGGGGGTCGCTGCTGTGGAGCGTAACCGTGCCGCCTTCAGAGACAGGGCGGACAAGATCCACCATAACCGTGATATAGTTGCCCTTACTAGGGGTAGGATAGTGCCACTGGAAGGCACTGCCAAAGAGACAGACAAAGTCAAGTTCGAAATGAGGCTGGCCGTATGGACAGAACGGATCCTTGTTATCGTTGGCGGCTTTCGCTTCACGGTACAGGGGATCCTTCTCCAGGTACTTGTCAATTCGGGGGAACCCAACCATTTCAAGGAATCCGGAGCCCAATGGACCACCATGACTGTTTTCGTAGGCTTGAATGGCTCTATCGTTGTGTGGGGTTCCTTTCCGTAAGATAAAATCGTCCATACCGAAGCCATCTTTGAGACGAAGAACGAAAGGAACACCGGGGTGATCCAGGAGATGCTGCCCGACATGAGGGCTATCAAGAATCACCGGGATACCGTGCTTCTTGAGTTCCGCAGAAGGTCCAATACCACTGAGCATCAACAGCTTAGGAGTCTCGAAGACACCTTCGGAGACAATAACTTCACGGGTAGCAAAGAGATTAAGCTCCTGACCAGAGCCCAAGATAACAGTAACACCCTTGCATGTCTTGTCCGCAGCATCGATAATAAGGTTCTTCGAATGCGCTTGAGGAAGAATAGTGACGTTTGGCTTATCGGCAATACACAGGAAGCTGCCAGAGCGACGACCCTTGTAGATTGTGTTGACACTATGAGTCAGGCCGGACATAGTACCGTCGAAAATATTCTCGGTTACTGGATGACCAGTGGATTTCCATGCCTTGGTGAGAAGGTCTCTGAAAGGCTTCATCTCGGGGATGAGTTCCGAGTGGGCAATCGGGATCGGACCGTTACTGCCAATCTTCTTCAGCTCAGGCGAGTAGGCATTTGCATCGTCGTGGTAGGTGACACTCTTTCGCAGGTAGGGAACAAGCGGATCCCAAGTCCACTCTTTTCCGCCATACTCCTCCCACATATCAAAAGTTCCCTTTGACCCAGGTGCCCAGGTGAAGTAGTTCAAGGAGGAACTGCCGCCGAGAACCTTTCCGCGCGTGTTGGGCTTCTCGATGCGCTCATAGTCATCTCGCTTGACCATTGTTGTTTTGAACGCCCAGTCATACTCGCTATCACGAAGTTCCATCGCGTTAGAAGGAACTCGGATCGCTTCAAGGTCCTTGGCGTTCTCGACGCCGGCTTCAACGACTAGGATTCTAGCATTGGGGTTCTCAGCCAGGCGACCGGCAACGACGTTGCCAGCTGTGCCTCCACCGACGACGATGAAGTCGAACCTGGCATTGTCCTGGACAACAGTCATGTTGAGAAGTGAAAAAGGTTGAGAAGTTGTAAGGAAGTGAATTATCTGAAAAAGGTGATCTGTCTGCGGAGTGAGCGACTTCGAGACGCCTTTTATATCTGACAGGTTGGGCTTTTCGGGATGAGGAGAACGTCTTTCATGAGATAACCAGCGCATGCATTCCTCTTCCTAATACCTCATGTGGCGTCATTGATTTGAGTAGAGCAAAAAACACGCGGTTCCACAGACAAGGGCACTGTATTGTTTACTACTGGTCTTACGGGCACCTAGCTGAGGAAGGTCTTACTAGTGCTGAGCCAAGTGATCCACCCGTATTTTACGGCCAGTGTTCTGATGGTCATCCTAGAGTTTACGACGTGGCAATGGCTCATACCGACCTGTCTCGATCATGTCTAACTTCGTTTACTACTTTTCGTATGGTCATCTTAGAGTTTTCAGTGTGGCCATGGCTTGTACCGATCTGGCTCGACCATGTCGAGATGTCACAGGATCTGCATTATAGACATTCGGCGGATATATTGGCTTGACCTAGTGGATAGAAGCGAAAAGCTAGCTTCTCTATCCACGGGATGGTTCTGACGGAATGTGGGGTTGGATAGATACATAGATAGTAGATCAGGATGATCGCACCTTTGAGCAGCTTAGGTGGAGCTCCACCAGATGAAGTGGGCCATTTGTTGTTGCACGTTGGGCGGCCGATCCATGGGTTGGCTAGATACTCAATTGAGTTTCGGTTTGAGACACGCGAAAAGTGAATTGTCAAGCTGGTGGAATCCAGATGCACAGCTGCAGGAGAACTAGGGCTAGATGGCTTTATGCCTGCTTGACAAAGCTGGTCGCAGGTCTGAATGAGAACGTGAGAGTCTGAAAACTAGTATTTTAGTTTCGGGAGGTCAAGAATCTAGCACTTAGCAGGAGTGGCGGGCTTCGGATACGGCATGCATGAATACTCCTATGCTACCCTAAACCGATGAGGCAATAGCATTCGACCAATTATATATCGGTATATAACTAGTGATTTTCCCACTACCCAATCAAGGCAGAAAAGCCTCTGTTGGGAGTAGAGGAGTAGAATTCAGGAGTAGCCGGCTTGATGTACGGCATGGACACTCCTATGCTACCCAGGATCAATGAAGCAATAGCATTCGACCAATCATATATCGACATGAGTTTGGTGATTTTCCCACTACCCAATCGAGGTAGAAAAGCCTCTGTTGGGAGAAGAGGAGTAGAATTCAGCACTTGGGTCTTGTCTTAATTCGTGCGGAGAACTGCGTCAGGTTCTAGTGTCTGCATAAATTGGGGTCTCGGTTGAGCGGAAAACTGAAGTTCAGTCAAGAGTGGATCTATCGGTTTCAAGGCCATACGTTAGCTTCTTTAGGAAATGCTAGTCGACAAATAACAATCGTGTCGTATTGTAGTGACGTAATTATGCGGGTCCCTGAAGCTTGTACAGAGTACCTGGGACCAGATACAGATATGATGTACAACCAAACACAGTACTCCCGAGATGATAGTCCCACTAGTTGTAGATCTGACACTTCAGAGGCCTGGAACGTCAGATAATCGGGTTGAGCTTGAATTTAGCGGTAGCTGAAAGCGGCAATTTCGTCAGAGGTAGATATCTTACTGAGTATAATTGACCACTGAGATGGCGGAAGAAAATACAGTGCTAATCAAGATGTCCTGAATGGTCAGTACATGTATAATGGAAGCGTCATTAACGTTGGGGAGGAATGGCGGAATAATAAAGCAGTTCACTAAGAAGTTCATTAGCTTAAATTGGAGAGCCCTGGCTGCTTTGTTCTGTTACATTTCTCTTCACATATCGTTTGCCCCAACATTTACCATGTCTGCCGATAAATATTATACTCTTGCGGAAGGTCAGCTTTTTGGGGGGGCATGGGGGGATTAGCAATCCTACAAGTACTAATTCTGGAACAGGATGCCCCTTCGCTAGCAACAACACCGCGCTCTTGATGCGGAATCGTCCAGGAACTGGCGGTCTAGGTCTGCTCCAAGACACTCAGCTCATTGAGACACTCGCGCACTTCAATCGCGAGAGAATCCCCGAGCGGTATGAGCCGGTTTATCTACTCTACAATATTGATCTTAAACTAATTGGCGTTGTAGCGTTGTTCATGCAAAGGCCGTTGGGTAGGTGAAATTGGGTGGTTGAAAGTTGGTTTGCAACAGGTCGCTGACTCTCGCTCCTATTGTAGCGCATATGGGGAATTTGAAGCTACCGAGGACTGCTCCAACCTGACCTCCGCGAGCTTCCTCAGCAAAGTTGGAAAGAAGACCCCTATTCTCCTTCGTGTTTCCACCGTCGGTCCGGAATCGGGCTCTGCGGATACTTCGCGGGACGTTCATGGATGGGCGATGAAGATGTACACCGACGAAGGAAACCTTGACTGGGTCTTCAACAATACGGTGAGTAACTTCATGGTCCTATACTAAGGTAAAAGGGCTAACCAAAATTTCAAGCCTGTGTTCTTTATTCGGGATCCCATCAAATTTCCCTCTGTGAATCGCTCCCACAAGAGGAATCCCCAAACCCATTTGCCCGATCCAAACATGGTAAGTCTCCAATTTTGATCACCAGACAATCCAACAATGAATTAACATAGATTTAGTTTTGGGAGTAAGTCCCTTAGATATAAGCTTGATTTTCCGCATTAATGACATGCTTTAGCTTCCACGTCGGGAACCCGGAAGGCATCCATCAACTTTTGATTCTTTTCAGTGACAGAGGAACCCCACGATCAGTTCGATTTCTCAATTCATACAGTGGACATACATACAAGTTCACAAAGGCGGTAAGGACGACAGCCTTGGTGACGATTACTTATCGCTAACTGGCTAGGATGGTTCATTCAATTACATCAAAGTCCATATGAAGACGCGACAGGGCGTGAGGAATTTCACACAAGAGGAAGCAACTCGTGTCGCAGGAGAGGACCCTGATTATATGATCAGAGATATGTTCGACGCCATTGAACGAAAGGACTTCCCGCAGTGGGATGTTTTTGTGCAAGTAATGAGCCCTTCCGAAGCCGAAACCTATCGCTGGAATATCTTCGACATGACCAAAGTCTGGCCCAAGAAGGACTTCCCATTGAGGAAGATTGGTAAAATGACTTTGAATCGCAATGTGAGCTATGGCTCTCTCCTGAAATTGATGCTTATTCTAACTATTTAGCCCGACAACTATTTTACCGACATCGAACAGGCCGCTTTCTCGCCTTCCACTATGGTTCCCGGATTTGCAGCTTCCGCTGATCCTGGTAAGCTACATCTCCAATGTTCATTGAATGACCTGTGGTTGATTCCCGAATCTAGTCCTCCAAGCCCGTTTGTTTGCGTACCCCGATGCAGCTCGATACCGTCTTGGTGTCAACTACCAACAGCTCCCCACCAATGCTGCCAAAGTCCCTGTTTACTGTCCATTCGAACGAGATGGAGCAATGCGATTCGATAAAAATTACGGTGCTGACCCCAATTACGTTGGATCTACCCTGCAGCCAACGCAGTTCAAGACTAAAGAAAACGGTGTTACCGCTCAGTCACTCAGCGTCCATACCGACCACGAGAAATGGGCTGGCGAAGTGTCAGCCTACACTAGTCAGATTACTGACGATGATTTCGTTCAGCCTGCAGCTTTGTGGGAAATCCTTGGGCGCGAGCCAGGGCACCAGGACAGGGTCATCCATAACCTTGCAGGAAATATTAGTGGGGTTACGTCACCCAATTTACGCGAGGGTGTTTACGGTTCGTTTGTCTTGTATCGCTTTCAACTTATGGCTTTTACTTACTCTGAACTCTTTGCAGCACTTTTCGGTCGTGTCAATCAAGAACTCGGGGCTAAGCTTCGAAAAGCGACGGAGGCCAAGGTTAAGAACTGAATGGCTCGCTGTCTGTCCAGTATGGTGAGGAAAGAATATATTGCAAGGGAAAGAAAAAGAGAAAATCTGATGTCTTGAATATCTATCAAAAATTATCGCAAGTTATGCTCAATTTACTGTATTTCCACGAGACCAATGTTCAACCATCGTAGTACCACACACTTCCCCAGCTGCACCACCGACGGAAAGCACGCTTCCCTCATAGTCTGGCCACAAAAATTGATATACACAGACTTTATGCATACTCACCACATGGTATGAATCCAGCTATGCAGTTGTACAGTTAAAAGACAGATCGTTGACTTTTGAATCTGATCTGATGCACGCATACAATCTACGAGTCTGGAGAAGGCGGATGATCAACCAATGCGAAACTGTAAGATAGATTGGAACCTCGGAAGACTAGCTGCTTCCCTGAAGCTCTCTAGATAGCTTTATATAAACAAAAGCACCAAGATCATCTCCTCTGGAAGCCAGGTAATTTCCAATTGAACTGCTTCTCCCCTGCATGTGGTGTCTTTGATTTGTGCATAAGGACATAAGCATCCATAGTTAAATTTTTTCGATAAGCAGAGGAAGAAGCAACAATAATACGTAAATAACATTGCAGAAGGATGGAGAAAGGAAGCTACCAATCAGGGGCATTGCAAGCCTTTATTTCTCAAGGATAGTGCAGACTACACCGATCAAGCACCTGACATTATTCTCATCTTACTGCAGTGTTTATAACTAGGCATACGGATTTCCGAGAATGATTGAATCTCCAAGTGTCATTTGAATAGTCAGAAAAAAAAACAGCTAAGGAATCCAGCGAGCAATAGAATCACATCAAGCCTCCATAGGTCTGGCCCTCGGCTTCCAACTCCTTGTCCTTCTCGTAGTAGTCTTTGAGGGCTTTCTCATCCTTCTTCAGGTAATCGTCGTAGAATTTCGGTTTATCCTTCTTGTTCGACGGTTCATTTTGCTTATCAGAGTGGGCGTCTTCTTCCTGATTGTGCTTATGATGATGATGCTCGAAAATCCTCTCGATGAGAGGTTCTTTGTCCTTGACAGGATGCTGAGAGTCTGCTTTGCTTTTGTTAGCCCCGCAAGAAGTCATGCATTAAGCAAGGCGGCAAACCTTCAGGCATGTTGATATTTGGTGGGAAATGGCTTGGTCACTTTGCGATTTGGCAAGGAAATGAGTTGTACAATCCTGTGGAACGATATATATATCACAAGAAGCACCTCTTAGCTTTGACATTTCTCTCTGGCCGACCGAGCTTCAATGACGTGGATGACCTCAAAACGAGCTGATCCCAAACATTCCTATACGGGAAGTGAGGTGTGACCGCATTTTGAGTTTCTATTTGTTGTCCGATCGTGGAACAACTACCTAACTAGCGGACGAATGCTTTACAATTATTGTCGGGTCTCGAATTGCGGGTAACCAACAGCTTAGTGCAATCTAGTAGCTCAACTCTAAATCCCTTGGGACGCCGTCGGTTCACTGAGAATTCACATTCTCTGCTTTCATGCCCGCTTTTGAGCAAACAACATGGAGCGTTGGTGGATTCTGCCTGGGTGTAAACGTCATTTAGACTCGTGTTTGAAGTTAGTATGGGGATGACTCTTTTGACCTGTCTAGGTTTCTCCTACGCGAACAATAGCCTTCCAAACGGACAAGAAATGACCCAGGTCTGAGCCCAGGGAAGAATTGAACGGTCGTACCACAATCATATCGGGCAGAAGGATACAAGACGACCCCAATCAGGGCAAACACTGCCCTCAAGTAATGCCATGTCTCACTCAAGACCGATTTTGTAACGGGCACCAGCTTTTTTGCCCCTGCTGGGAAGGTCCAGGTGCAGAACGGCAGTAGCATTTAACGAATTAGGTTTCTGCATTAGTAGCAAACACACTTTATTAGCAGCCATATTCGATGTACGATAGTATTAGAAGTCTTGAGAACAGAATTGGTGTGGACCTGCGACGAAATAAACGAGTTGTTGATCCGCCTCTCTGAATCGGGTAGTACTAATTGGCCAATCAGAAGACGTATCTGCCGTATATAGCACGCCTCCCACGCCGATCCCCGAGATCAGCAAAGGGTCCGTCCTACTGGACTAGCTTGGAGCTCGGAGTCAAGCTGCTATACTAAGCTTTGAAATCCAAATCCTCTGTTTGGGCGGTACAGTACAGCTTCAGTCCAGATTTGCTATCTTCAACCTCGATTTATCAGACTCGAAAATATCGACTTACCTCCTTATACCTGGATACCGTGACGAATTGAGCAGTGACAACTTGTCGTGTTTCCAAGAAATCAACGGAAGGACCATCCATCAAAACGTTCAAACGAACAATGAGCAGCTTAACCACCGCCAGCATCCAACCCGTCATCGCCCCCCTCACCCGAACAGCAATCTTTCTCGTTTTATCAATCACAAACACCTCAGCCATTCCAACCATCCGCTCAACTCTCGCCAGCGTCTCAAGTCTAGCCAAAAATGTCGCCTTTCGAGACTCCGACGCTAACTTGACCTGCACGGTGGGAATCGGCAGCTCCGTCTGGGACGAACTCACCAACAACCTCCCGCGACCCAAAGAGCTCCACCCCTTTCGCGAAGTCAAGGGTGCCAAACACACCGCCATCTCCACTCCGGGAGACCTCCTTTTTCACATTCGCTCCGAACGCCGCGATATCTGTTTCGAGTTCGAGCGCCAGCTTATAGACCACCTCGGTGACTCTGTGCAGCTCGTCGACGAAACAGTTGGGTTCCGCTACTTTGACAGCCGCGATCTCCTCGGCTTTGTCGATGGGACTGCGAACCCCGTGGGCCCGGGCATTCTACCGTCTGTCCTTGTCACGATGGAGGACGATCCACACGCCCAGGATGGCAGCTACATTGTTGTACAGAAATACGTTCACGACCTAGCTAGTTGGAAAACACTACCATCAGAACAACAAGAGGAGATCATTGGGCGGACCAAGATCGATAATATTGAGCTTGACGACGCTGAGGACGGGAAGCAGGCCTCGCACAAGACGCTGAACACGATTGAGGACGAATACGGCGATGAGCATGATATTTTGCGCGATAACATGCCCTTTGGATCCCCAGCGAGTGGAGAGTTTGGGACTTATTTCATTGGGTATACCAGGCGGCTATGGGTCATTGAGAAGATGCTTGAGCGGATGTTCAAGGGGCATCCGCCCGGGCTGCATGATCGGTTGCTGGATTTTTCGAGGCCGTTGACAGGGAACGTTTTCTTTGCGCCGTCGGCTACGGTGTTGAATGGGCTTGATGGTTGATATAAATACACTGTTGTTTTCCGTCAATCTCGGATAGCTAGATACTAAAGAACTAAATCCAATGAGTAGGTGAAGAGGAAGTGATTTATTGTACTTTCCGGTTCCCTATTTCAAATAGAGAGAACTTAGCATTTTACAACAAGAACTAGCCATGCACCAGAGAAAGATGTTTTTTCAAGATGCTGCTTTAGTGGGAAGGCAGGATGATTTTTGAGGTCTACATGTTTCCCCATACTTGCTAGCTAACCTACAAAAAGTTTGGTCTTGTTTTGCTGCTCTCGTCTTGTCTGCTTTGCCAAACTGCCCATCGTGAATATCCCTCTTCATTGTATATATATCAAGTACTGTCACCATCGTAGCTTATTGCTCTACTTCGCCTTACTTACTCCGCGTGATTCGTAATTCATCCTTGCATGGTGCTCATATTTTAGTGACGAGTCGTAATGGGCTTGATATCCGTTTATGTTGCGGATACCCATGGCAGTAGCTATGTCGTTTTCATCCATCTATTTTGCACAGTTCATAATATTAGTTGATCACATATTTTCGCTCACGTAGACATATACCTGCATCAACATCAAATGGAGATTAACGAAGAGAGCGGTGCGACTATTACTAGATCGAAGTGCTGACTGTCAAACCCAAGCTGAATATCATAGAAATGCGTTCTATGCCATAGACTCTGATCAGTCATGAAAAGATGCTACTGGATCGAGAAAGCGAAAGTCACTGTTGGAGATGAGGAATCTAGGCCCCATCCGCCCTGTATTCAACCTGTCTAGCGGACTCAGCTCATTGTATCTTGAACAAGTCAGAGCTTATCACCTATTGTCTTGGTATTTCATTCGATGCCTTTTTCCGCCTACTGCAGTAAGATTGCTGAGCACAAACACGAATAAATGATGGATGATCGGTCAAATACTTACGTTTCACCGATAAACAACGTCCTTGGATGGAAAGATTAGCGTTGAATACTCTCTTCAACGCGACGTACGTGCATAAAAAGGCTGCTGTAGTTGTCCTCCCGTGTTTGAAACCCAATAGGGGCATAAGGGAAGTTGAAATTATACTCGCTTCGCTAACCGGAAACGAATTACACCTGTCCAGAGCAACTTTCGGCAAGCCATCCTACCATATCGGAGGAAAGTCCAATTCGGCCCAACTGTACTGAAAGAAAGTTATGGGGCAATTACTGAAACATATAAATCTGATCGTCCGCAAGTGGAGGTACAAGTCGCTATGCTAATATGATATCGGTGAGCCCCACTCCTATATGAGGAAATACTACCCACCAATAATGTCCATATATTTAGACAATCATTCGTTAATTAGTACTTCCTAGAATGGAATAGAATGTAAGATAAAGTAATGAATTGCTCCATTTTAGTTGCGTACTCCGAACGAAACGCCAGTTCAGTTGTTTAACAAGAGTATTATAATTATGGTAGATGAGAATTGCTCTTGTTACATAGTTGAGCAGCTCACAGCAATTCAGCTTCAAAGTACAAAGGAGGCATGAGGCCATGGCTCAGCAATTGCATATGCTATGGGCATTAATACAAAGGTACACGATGCGATGGAGGACGTAGGTAAATTACAAATGACGAGGTGCACGTAATAAATATAAATTTCCAAAAGTAGATGACATGGCTTTTGCCTTACGCTGAGAAATGAGAGGTAAGGGGGCTTCGTGAGTTTTGAGCCCTAATTTGTTTCCCCTGCACCAAGAATCTCGATCTCACTGTCCACATAGTATGGAGAGCGATGGATTCCCCAAATGAAAAGGAGGTAAACCCGCTCAATACTACGGAAGATGAAATGAATAAGCGCCATGCTTCTGGTGACCTAGTATCTTCTGAATCGATACTACACTCCAATCAGCCTCATTTCCAGTTCGTCGAAAGCATTGAAAAGCCTGTTGCGCGCAGTCATGCAATGAAGACATATTGGAGACGGAAGAAGGGAGAGCAACAACAGGAAGAATACTTGAAACCCAATCAACCGAGTTTGCGACCGTTGCGACCGTTATCCAAACCGCGAGCAGTCCACGAACCTGAGACCTCTACCCTGCTTTCGCCAACAGAAGAGGCTTCCTCCGGCCATGGGTATCTCTCTTGTTCAGTCAAAAGTCCAGAAGAGCTTGGGATCCCTGACCAGCTTTTCGCTAACATCAGCTTCACTTTCGCCTGTGTTTTGGGCCAAAAGGTTGAAGCAAACTCATTTCAGATTTCAGCACATCATCACCGGTTTTTCTATCATTGTGAGTGCGTTTTTAATACAGCAGCCTTACTCAGCAACATCAAGGAGACTGACAGCTCGATTTTCTTATTTAGGGCTGAGCATGCATGCGCATATCATACATTCAGGACTTCAGGCGCGGACCTTTACTCCATTCACAGAGATTTGGATGCCACTCGATCTATCAAATGCTGCATCATTCAATGGAATCTTGGCTCATGCAGCTGCAGATCTCATGAGATTTGAAGGAGGTAGAAGTAATCCGGAGCTTCTGAAATACAAAACGGAAGCCATCGAAACAATCAATAAATGGCTTGGTGATACAGTCAACGCGATTACGGATGATGTTTTTGCTGGTGTCGTGCGACTTCTCACATTTGAGGTATGCTATTTTCCGCAGCTTGAAGAAGGTAACGGTTGATCGTGCCAAGAGTCCTGCTTTATGCTGATCACGCACGAATGAAATATTCACGGGACTAAGATGGTTGTTATACGCAGAGACACTGGGGAACACGTGAACGTTTCAACATGCACAAACATGGACTTCAGCAGATGGTACAGGCCAGGGGAGGTTATAAAGCTTTCGGTCCAAACTGGAGGATTCAGCTTGTCCTTTCCCTGTAAGTCCCCTATCATGTCCATAATCTCATTCGTCATATTGCGACTAAAGTGTCAGGCTTTCTATTGTTGAAATACCGGAACAGTCATCGTCTGTGTCGTACTTGATGGAGGAATTCGAGAATCTTGTATACAAGATATTAGATACTTCCTACTTGCCTCATCAATCCCCAAACCAGTCTCACCACGCCAAACAACTCACACACCTCGCGTCATTGGCAGAAGCGATAAAGGTTTTGCAACATCGACGGACAACAGAGGACGTCATGCGTGGAGAGACACGGCATCAACGGGAAGCAGTCTCTAAATGTCTGCAATGTTTACTTTTTATTTGGGCCACGCTCCAAGAAAGTGACGAGAGGAGTATTGGGAATCAGTCGAAGCAAGAGAATAGTCCTTCATTCGCTCTCAATACTTTTCTTCATGCGTCACGACATATGTGGGCCAAGTCCGAGGATGAAGTCATGTCAATCATCTTGGATGACTTCGCCAAAAGAAGGGAAAATATGGAGAAAACTGTCTTTGTTACGACGGTGATTGCATGTATCAAAGGTATTAGTCTTAGAGCCCTATATGGGGCTGAACAGTGCCTATCGAGCTATTGGAACTAGCCAGGGGATCAAACTCCTGACCAGGCAATTAGAATACTGAAAATGATAATTTAAAAACCCAATCAGAAATAAATTCAAAGACCTTGAGCGAACAACAGCAGGGTCCATTTAAGGGACAGTCATGGACGCTTTAGCTCCCTTATAAGCCGCAAGAGAACACATGGTGGTTTCGGCAATTAGATATTGCGCAGTAGCTAGGGCACTGACCAGAGATGGCGTTAAATATACGACAGAAATCGCCACAGATTTGGAGATAGTATGTAGGCGTGCATAGATGGTGTTCAGACTTCAGCAAAGTCCTATCTTTTGATATCAAATAGACGACTCGATACATTTTCTACACACCGAATTGCCAACATCAAATAGTGCATTTGATGTGGTTGTTCTTTGGCTGGGCCTACTTCGCACCCGTTAACCACCACTTTGCGGGTACGAAGACCCATAGCGCTCAGGGTTCAAACCCCTTTTAGGAAGTATTTTGATGCCTGAACGGCCTAATTAGCGCTACTCTTTAAACTGCTCTGTCCAATGTAATATAAATGATTCATGTATTAATGAAGCTTTTGGCACCGTACAATCAGATTAGTTGATTCGTAATCAGGATCATCTAAATATAATAGTACCTAAGATATCCCTTAAGCTCTTTTTACCACTTAGTCTTCGGTTGCGGGTGGTGGCTCTAATTAATCTTCTTCGAGGAGACTTATCATTGTATCTGTGCTATACGCAGAGGACATTGCCTTCCTTCATAAGGACTTGCTTTTCTGGCTGAAGTTCATACCAGATGCCTGGAGAAGATGATCTCGGCGAATACAACAGACCAAGCTTATTTCTCCTCGCTAGTGTGTTCGCCACTGTATTGCTCTGCGTGTTGAGTGTGGCTCTGGCGGTGAACCACTGTCCTTGCTTAGGAAGCTAGCACGACGAACAGCATCATCCCCGACATCATCCAAAGTACGCAAGAGTTTACCATTTAGACCATACATGTGGGGGCTGGGTGTGAACAAGCGATACCACATTGAAGACGTTGCTAGTTTTGTGTGCTTGTGCAACCTTCACATCCCCAGCTAGAGATATTGGTAGACTCAGCAGCGGACCTTGTCAATGAGAAATGTTTTGATTGGTCCGCTATACGAGAAGAGGCCGCCAAACTTGGTATGTAATAAAAGCCTTCTTAGGCTCACCACTGTATCTCCTGCTATATTTTGCATAACAGAAAGGGTCCAACTCGATGATGAATATTTTGTCACAAAATGATTCATGCGTCGGTTTGGCTGAAACCAGGAAGTGAATGACTCGACTTCCAGGAACGGGACGCTGTTATGTATGTAAAAGTCCACTAATAGAATCTTTCCTCCCCCAACTTCCGCACGAATTTTATGCCGATCCTGAGATATTCACTTGGCCTGGGCCATTAATCTCCACGGTAAAAGCATTCAAATCGTCTCCGGTTATGATTCCAATTTTAACTAATTCTATTACAAAGGATGAAAGCAGGCCTTTAGAGGAAATAGAGTTACTGAAGGTATAAAATCAAAGACGAGAGAAAGCTGGGTCTGTCTGATAGTTTAGAGCGGGTGTCTGTAAGTTATTATGAAAAGATACAAACTGAGAAGATGCACGCTAGATATATTATGTATCTGCTCAATAGCGAGGGGAGGACGGCTCTTTTCTAATTTTTATACGCATTCGCACTATATTTCTACTCCCCCTTTAGGAAAGTAACGCTATAAGTCTAGGCCCTTTTGGGAACCGGGGCTCATACTGTGAAAGCCCGCTACTAAGCTACTAAGCTCGTGAGCCTCCAGAACTATACTATTGAGCGTTACATGCCAGTTCCTTTCGGAAGAATTGAGTACAATTGATTCAAGAATTCTAAGAACGAGGGAAAGGAAACAATCTACGGCCACGACTGGGTTTTATACTCTTCCTGGCGACCTCGCCACAAGCCAAGCAAACACCGTCTTCGCTTACAGTTTTAGGAAGGGACGACTCGGTCTGCAGGTACGAGGTCGAGGGCCCAGGTTTGGCAGGTACGCAGTCGGTATCAGTCGGCAGATCGTCAGATCGTCACATTCTATAACGATCTCATCCTTATCAAACTGTAGAAGGAATTCAATAAATGCGGGAAAGGATCTCGGAGATTATAGAAGGAGAGGGACGATGGTTATAGGCTTTATAAAGCCATTAAACAAGCTCTTTACTAGATGGTAACAGAAGGGTCGACGTTCTGGAAGGTTAGGATCGATCGGTGAGGCATTTTGATTGGTCAAAAATTGGTCAAAAAAGTCGAAAATGACGTAACAAAACTATTCCCTCCTCAGCCGCTATGTAAGTGCTTCTCGCCATCTCTTCCTCGCAAAAGCTGATGACCCACAGATGAATATCACCCACAGTGATCCGAGGGAGACTTCGTTGGTCCAGATGAAACGGTACCTGTCCGGTGACCTGGAGCGCGTGGGTCAGAAGGTGCGCCAACGCTTGGAGTCCAGTCGGTTGGCGCGAGGGCTGCTGAAAGTGATCGGTGTGTTGGCCGTCACTATGGTGCTAGCTGATGGCCTGCTCACACCAGCCCAGTCCGTTCTCGGAGCCGTTCAAGGCATTGAGGTTGTGCAGCCGAGCATATCCAAAGGTACAATAATCGGTATCACTGATGCCATTCTCGTTGTGCTGTTTTTTTATTCAGCCGTTGGGAATCACGAAATTATCCTTCGCGTTCTCACCGATCGTGATTATATGGCTCGGGTTTAATGCGGCGTTCGGGATATACAACCTCACTAAATACGACGCCGGGGTTTTCCAGGCTTTTAATCCCGGCCTCGCGTTCGAATTCTTGATCCGTAACAAGACAGACGGATGGAGGATGCTAGGTGGTACTTTGCTTGCCTTCACTGGTGTGGAAGCCCTCTTTGCGGACCTGGGCGCTTTCAGCCGAAGCGCGATCCAGATCAGCTGGCTGTGCTACACGTTTCCGTGCCTATTGTTAGCATATATCGGTCAGGCAGCGTATATCAGCGTCCACCCAGAGGCGTATTCAAATCCCTTTTTCAACGCGGCCCCACCTGGAACCATCTATCCAGCCTTGGTCATCGCAATTCTGGCTGCAATTGTCGCCTCGTAGGCTATTATTACCGCAACCTTCCAGGTGAGAGAGTTGCAACCCTTGATTTGGGAGAAGGTCTCACTCTGACAATGCTGGCAGCTTCTTGCACAAGTGATGAAACTCTCCTATTTCCCTCAGATCAAAGTCATCCATACTTCTCAGATCTTCCACGGGCAGCTTTTCATTCCGATCGCGAATTGGCTGCTAATGATCGGAACCATCTTGATCGCATCGATCTATAACAACGTGAGTGGCCTCTTCCTTTCCCTATTTCATTCTTTTCCGGCGACTTATCTCATGTCCTCCAGACGACGTCCTTGGGTAATGCGTACGGCGTATGCGTTATGTTTGTGACATTTTTCGACACCTGCATGGTTTCTCTGGCTGCAATGTTCGTATGGCGGATCAGCCCGTACATTGTCCTCCTCCCGTGGCTCACCGTGGCCTGCCTGGACGGTACATATCTCTCTTCTGCGCTGACCAAGGTGCCTGACGGTGCCTGGTTCACGATCGCGCTCGCTGCAATCCTCGCCATGCTGTTTCTTTTGTGGCGATACGGCAAAGAACAGCAATGGTTCGCCGAAGCCGAGGACCGCGTCCCCACTGCACATTTCATCGTATCCGGTTCAGATGGTCAAATGTTCCTGTCCAAACGATACGACGACCTTCCAGTCAGCATCACCCCTGGTCTTGGGATCTTCTTCGACAAAGCGGGCGAGACGACCCCGATTGTGTTCAGCCAGTTTGTGCTTAAGCTCACCTCTTTACCTGAGGTGGTTGTATTCTTCCATCTCCGCCCACTCGAGCAACCTTCAATCGCCCCTGAGAATCGATTTACCGTGTCGCGTTTGGCCATTCCAAATTGTTACCGGCTGATTGTTCGATACGGATATAATGACGAGATCATCACACCCGACTTGGCGAGCGTAATAGTCCACCAGGTCCGGGAATATCTAACGTCGAGCAGTGCCAGCATGCCCTTAGATGGGGAGGATGAGGGAAAGGATTCTGTGACTCCTGGCAACTCCACGACGGAAGGCAGTAGAGACGCCCGCGCTTTCCTCGGTTCTGAAATTACCATTCTGGAAGCGGCATATTCCCACAAAGTGCTCTATATTGTAGGAAAGGAGCAGATGAAAATCAAGCCCAACACAGCACGCATCCGAAGAGCCTTGCTACTTGCGTTTCTGTGGATCCGGGATAACACGAGAAACAAGATGGCCAACCTCCGGCTGCCAATAGACAAACTGATTGAAGTCGGATTCCTCAAAGAGATATAAGTGTGGCGATAAGCGATCTGGATGAAAAAAGGCGCAGGATGTTGAAGAATCAGCTTGAATCGCCGCTGCGACATAGTACCTCCGTGTATCTCACTAGCGAACTGTTTATATTGCTTTTTGTATGACAGATAGTGTTACTGTTCGCGGACGGTATAAAGTACCTCTTCGTTCAGCGGTTGTTCCAATCTTGTTGTCTCCAATTTCATCTTATTCAGGCTGCCTAATAGGCGCAGTCCTCTCATCAACCCAAGACAAACTGATTCAGAGATATCCTGAGATCCATCCACCGCACATATGTTTACGTTTTGCCTTTCACAAAGTCAATAGTCAAAATTTGAAAATGGTTAGAGGTGGTGCATCGCCAATGTTTATACCGGCACAAGGTCACGATTTTTGCATCGCTAACCATGGTCAAAGGCGAGAAGCAAACCCCTAGAATATATGTTACGTATACCTAGGGGGTGACCTCGGTATGATGGCAAGAACCAACGTTGGAAGGTGGTAGAGTCCACATTGGGAGACCGGAGGTACATACTTTCCACCATTTTATTGGCAGCGGCCCAAGTCACATCGCCTTGATCAATATCTGGTTGTGCCTTTCTTTTTTCCTCTCTCTTTTTCTTCTTTCCATCTGTCTATCTTGACGATTTTCGACTTTCTATTTTTCCTCTTCCACTCAAACTATCTTCAAGTTTACATTTGAATCCCAGGAAAAGATGATTCGAACGGCGACAACGCTGAGCCAAGCCATAAATGAACTCCGCGCTGCTAGGGGCAATATCTCATCTCCGCAGTTTTATCAACTGATACACGAGCAAGATGCGAGACTCCCTTCCGTTCGTCTATCATTGTTAAATGCCTCTGAAGTCGAATACATACTGTGCCTCGAGCCGGCTAAGACTAATCAGGGATTGGATTCCTTTCCTACAATCGCCCCGCCCGAGTTATTAAGTGAGCCACAGGAATCGCAGAGGGGGATCTCGCTAACTTCTTGAAGTCAAAAATCTCGCAATGACCGACGATGCTTTGAAGAACGAAAAAAACGCTGAAGCTAGTATGCGCTGGAGGATGAATCACTTCCTTCTATTTGCATTTAACACAGCAATGGACTCGTATTCTGAAGAGAAAAGACTTCTGGAGATCCACTGTGAGCCTAGATGGTCATTCGGACCCGTCCGATATAAGGACCAGGCCGTGAAGCTATCAGGATACCCATCTTACGCCCTATGGTACGGAAACGAAGACGAAGCCGCTTTGAATGTCATTGTGGCCCAGAATACGAGGTTTAAGCGGCATGATAAGGGAATTCCGGAAGTTCTAGGATACATGGGTGAGTACAATGTACCACTGATGAAGTGCTCATTAACTGATTTGGTCGAAGGTTTCGTCCATCATCATCGCAAGAATGCAAATAAATTGAATTCTCCGGTCTATGGGGTTGCAACGGACTCTAAAACGTTTCACTTTGTCAGGCTGGACAATAATTCCACGGTATACTTATTCAATATGTCTCACTTGATTGAAGAGTTACATTCTAATACCTTCTAGTTTATCACCGCAACACTGGACTCTGAGGTAGATCTAGAAAAGGTGTTCAGTCTATTGGTTCATATCTTGAAAGAAGCATTGATCGTCCAATCGACTCAACCGAAAGAGCCATCTATGCAATCTAATCAAGGTGAAGGATCCGTCGATCCCCTCGTCCCCGTCGGGTCTTCTCTTAGACGAAAGGTTGCCAAGGAGACACAATATGAAAAGCTGAAAGTGGCCGCAGCTGCTTTGGATGAGGAGCTCGATTATTATGACATAGATGTGAGGGACCTCGAACTCGAATTTCCCGAAGACGAGACCTCTGAAGATGAGTATTCTGAAGATGACTAATGCTTTGAAGTTCGGCTCCAAGGTTGCTTCCAAGGCTATCGTTACCTTTTTTGCTATTTGCTAAACTGGGTGAGCGTACAATAACAGTAGTCACATCTTGTCTGATATTCACAACAACAAGCAATTATTTAAACATATCCTGCCTTCTAGGAAAAGTGTCTTTTGCGTAGTGTAGCTATGAGAAAGTCAAGTTTATTAATATGGTTGATCCTACGCCGATTCATGATACTTGGTAAGGATGATAGACCCATCTCAAGGGTTGAGATCCATATTCATCTCTTCGGACCCCACCCCACTGTAGGTTTCTGCTGAGGTCTCCTTTGAATGGGCTGGGGAGATGGTAGCTGCCTTCCGGAGCATCCATACCAGCAACCCGAACGGCTGCTCCAGAGCTGCCTGACGACCGACAACAGCAAATTCCGACCACTAGTAGATGTTAGAATTCCGAGTTCCTGACGTTGGGTTCTTGGCTGATATAAACTAGCTCACCTTCGAATCGTGACTGATTTTTAGAAAATGCCAAACTGATCCAGTATACGCCATCCCGTAAACACCACAGTTGCGCTTCTGGTCATTCTTGCGTCCCCGGTGGATACACCCTTTGATACCAATTAGCTTTCCCAAAAAAAGTATGACACATATAGCGAGATACATACCCATATATCCCAGGAGTTGGGGGATTGGATCCTTGGACTTCGCTCCGCCCTTAGCCTCAACGATGAGGACGTTAAGGCACAAGCCCTCGCTCTCACCATACCAGACACTATAGTCCATTCTTCCTGAGAAAACAACCCGCTTATGATTAAGAGTCACCGGGCCGAAAGAATAGGCCCTCTCGCATTGAACATTCAATGGCTGGGCATTTGTGAGATTCGAAGTGGCAGTCGTGTACGCATTGAGGGTGACAGCATCAATAAACCACCGAGTTCTAGCTTCAGTGGGTCGCGAGCGACCAAATGCCTGTTCAATAAGAGCCAATGTGGTGACTATAATGAATTAGCTGTATACCCCTTCTACTCTATGTCTGATATCACATACCGAGGTGGGGGGGTAGGGCGAGCGGCTGAACATTCTTCATCTCCAGGTCATAGGCATCGTATTCGAGCCGAAGAGACCTTTCAACCTCCTTCAAGGTCAGGTCTGAGACTGGGACACTGTCGTAGCGTTTCATCTGGCCCTCGACCTTATCAGTTGCAGTCTTCAGCTGTTGTTTGTCGATCCTCTCGTCGAGGAACTTCCGGACCGACGATCTGAGCTGGCGGAGGAGCTTATGACGCTCCTTTGGTAAAATCTCTGTGGCGATCATTGCTTCGCCGGTGGACTTCTCGGCACCAGGCACGCCCTCCATACGCTCGGCACTACCGCTCATCGTTGCAGAGTGGCTGGTAGCGATGTCTAGTACGGTGCAAAAAATTGGAGTGATGGAAGTGGAAGATGCAGGATGAGAGGAGAGTTGATATGGGAAGAAAGAAGAAGGAAAGTACTCTAGAAAAAAAGTAAGGTTTCAGCCTTGTGGGCAGCGGGTGATGGACCAAGGGTCCACGGATATCACTAATCTGGTGCGGACCGGTATTTCCTTTCCTCTTTATTTTCTTTCCAGCTCTCGCTGTGTTCTCTCTTTGATTCAATTTTCAAGTCTTCAAGGGAGACTCATTCAAGCTACCAAAAGGCAAACCACCTTATCGCTTCTTATTCCCTATGTTCTCAACCAGAATGGCAGAGTAAGACCCTTCTCCATTACCAGCTGCCCGTAAACGACCACTCGAGGTGGTGGCGCATACGAATTATAGTTTGTTGAGCGTAGACGACGCAAATTCCGTCTGAATCTAACGTACTATGGCTTACAGCCGGCTTCTATACTGTAATGACCCTAATACGGTCCAGATTTGACTTATGGCCTGCAGCCGGCTTTCGTTTCCCGTGGCGGACCGTATACGGTCTGAATTTAACTTGCGAATACCAGACCGAGGTTATGTTAATGAAAGACCAAAGAAAGTGGTTCTAGAACAAAGAATAGGTGCGAATGTGGTAGAATGCTAGTTTCTTTGATGGTTGTAAGGCGGCCGCGACTGAAAGAATGTGGATGACCACAGTAGATAGGATTTACTTTACTTCCTAAACCGAAAGCGAAGTTAATGTTTGCATGGTTTGCAACAGGGTCGCCAGGAAGTGCATGAAACCCAGTCGCGGCCGTAGAATGTTTTCTCTTTTCCTTTTTCCTTCCTTATACCCAGAATCCTTAATTGACTATACGAACGGGCACGCAATACCCACTCTATAGACCCCGAAAATCCTTTTTATAAACCTAAACCGCCTATCGCACTCGGTACTATAAGTATAGGTAATATGTCAAGTACCCACACTAATATATAGGAGCCAGTTTGATTGCTAACGGGCCGTGATCTATAGATGGAGATGGAATGGTGGACACGACGGGAATCAGGGCCGTCCACGGATCCCCGATATTTCGGTCGGAGATGACGACAGTCAGGATACGCCAGACGCATGGGCACATCATATTATGAGTTTCCCATGGACGACTCCTGCTGGTGTAAACATCGTCAAGGGCGCGACAGTCTAGGTCCTCCATCGAAAGAATTTCCGGGACAACACGCCTGGTAGTCACCCCATGTCGCTTTTTGTGTACATTGGTTATCGCCGGTCTCGTATGTGTCATCTCGACGAATAGCGTATCCCTTTACATATTCCTCGGACATTGTTGAGACACGATTGACGCGAGCTTAGAATCAACGGTAAAGGGATGCGGGGTGGAATCGGCCTGGCAGGAGTGTTGCGATGGGGAAACAACATTATTTATTACGGTCCTGGCAAGACTGCTGAAAGTGGGTATGCTTCCGGGTCGAAATCTTAAAAGACTGGGTCTTCGCCCGTTATTTGAGGCCAGTTACATTCCCCGTTTCGACGGTTCAATCCAGCTCTCTATCAAGCTAGACATCTATAAGTGATTGATCTCTCTCCCTATGCCATATTTTGTCCCAAATTTCGCTCCATCACTTGATACTGGCTGCCTCATTTTTTGAAATCCATGCAAGTTCCTGCCGATTTGAGTATTAATATACCAGGAAGGGAATTCAGGTGCCAATAGTCCTACCAATTGCACAAGCTCCCGAACAGCCTGTTCCATATAATCCAAACTTTTGACAGTAGAGATCTCCATAGCCGTAATAAGACTAACGAGCAGTCTTTGATCCTTTTCCTCGAGGTGATAATCCATTTCAATCTCGCATTTCAATCTACCAACATGTGATCGTAGGCATTTCCTGATCTCCATTCGTACCGATGTGTTCTTAGCAACCTCATCAATTAATTCAGATGCCTGAACCCTTTGTTTCAATTGGTTCGCTCGCTGATATATTTTAACCTCAGTTGGTTATGGCTTTAGATTGCTTTTGAAAGGATTCAGCGGCTCACCATTTCATAGATTTCTGCAACAGCAACCGGGCAGACATCATCCCATTTGCTCTTGAGATGCTTCAGAAAAAGGTCGAAAATGTCGAACTCTGAGCGAGGAATACAACCATTTGGAAGTCTGCTACCCGGAAAGCTGCTAAGGAAGACATCGGCCTTTCCTTTCGAGTCTGGACTCCTGACCCATGCGATACCGCATGGCTCTGGGCACTGCTCGTCGTTTCCGGGGATATGTTAATATTTGGCCGGGAACGCAATTGATACGTAAGTTATCTCGGTTTCGAGAAAGTTTTTGCCGATGTATTGAACGTATTGTGATTTGCCAAGTTCAAATTTCATGTCACATTCGGCATTGAACTGTCTTGGTACACGAGACCAAATTTCGTGCTGTGCACACACACTGTATCAAAGTTAGAATATAGAACGAAGACCCCAATTCTTTACTCAGTATAATGTTCGCCGCCCTTCACGTGGGAGCAAGTCATACTTGGGCTTTAGGATTGGCTGCTAATCAAAGTGATAGTCAGGAATGTATTGATTGATTTGCACCCAGTAGGTATCCTCGTTTCCAAGTTTAAGCCAGTCACTTGACCGCATGTATTCAAGTGTAGACATTGAGCTTAGTAGCTTCCTCACAATGCTCTCGTTTTTTTGATGTAGAGCGTATTGTAAAGGTGTTCGTCCAGTTCGGTCTTGGCAGTCCAGCAATGGCCCCTCTATTTTATCTTCCATCAATATATTAACCAGCCTCTCATGTTGATGGAAGCACGTAAGGTGCAAAGGCCTGGTTCCTTCGTAATCGCACCTATCCAAAATCCAGGGATCAACCTCTTTGCCCCAAAGAACAAGCTTTCTAAACGTATTCAACAATTTTTCTAGCCCGTATTCCTTTTCATAAGTTTCTGAATGGCGAATTAAGTAGTTCAACGAGAGGTCTTTGATTTTCTTTTGTGCCATCAAGCCCACGACATTCTGGTGGTTCTTCTCTACTGCCCATAACATCGGAGTTCTTGCGAAAGTCCCGTCGGTTTGATCGGTCCGATTTGGATCAACGTCTTTGTTTGCCAAGAGATATTCCACGATTTGACTGTCGCCGAATTGAGCAGCCCAAGAGAGCCAGATGCGTCCAAATTTATCCCGGCGGTCTGGTAGGAGAAGGGAGTCTACTAACTTGGCGAGGTCGTGGCGAGGAACCATTCGATTTTGTGGTGTAAGATCGATTGGCATACTGATACCATGATCTAATCTAGCTTTAAGAAGCCACCAAAAGCCTGTATGCTGGTCGCCATCCTCTTTATGTGGGTCAGCTCGATAGTCAAGAAGCAACTGCATGATCACCACACGCGACTTGCCCGCGGCAAGTGAGAAAGGAGTTCGCCCTCGTGCGTATTGATCCACGTTGACGATGGAATTCTTTGATTCCAGTAGCTGTCTCACGGACTCGACGTCCGATTGAATAACTGCGTTGATGAGAGGGGTGTTGCCTTCACAATCTGCTAAATCAAGATCGGCATCTCGTTCAATAAGAAGACCGATAATGTCTTTTTTTGGCCTCGGAGGGGCCTGGACTCACTGCCATTGACAAAGGCGTTCGACCATAGGCGTCTCGGTGGTTGACTTTAGCTGCATTTGCCAGAAGGTACTGAACGATTTTGGTAGACCCAATAGAAACTGCTCGTTGTAGCGGAGTAGGATCAAGACCATCATCTGGATTGATCATCGCATTCTCTTGCTCTACAAGAAATCTCACGGTCTCTAGGTGACCAAGTTCGACTGCACGTGATAGTGGAGTTCGACCCTCACTGTCCCGCCACTCCACCAGGGCCCCAGCTTTCTTTAGGAGCTTTATTGTTTGGGGCTGTCGTGATTCCACCGCCAAAAAGATAGCTGTTCTGCCCTTCGGGTCGGATAGATTTAGGTCTGTTGTCTTTCTTTTTAAAAATTTGTCGATAGTTTCCGGTCGCATCGTGGCTTGCCACAAGGGAGATTGTGATATCTCGCCGTCGCAAAAGTTCACGTTAAAATCGTCACATTTCAAAAATGCTTCTATTCGTTCGAGTATTTCGTTCTGCCAATATTGCAGGGCCTTCACATTCTTCTCTCCTTTTCGCTTTCGCGGTTCTCTTTGGAGTGTATTCAAAAATTCTGCCTTCAGAGTGTCAAAAGATTCCAGAGGAAGGGAATCACTGGTCGGTTTTTCAGTCATATTTGTCGTAGACTGTGGTTCTGATATCACAAGCAAGCAATAGGGACGAAGTTTGGTCTTGGAATTTAGCGATATCCTTGAAAATTCTTTTTTTTCAACCTGCAAAAGGTCACAAATTTAATAAATTCCCTTAAGCTGAGTAGCCAAAAATAACATGCATGGCCCCCATATGTGTTAACAACTTGCATGTTATCCAATGAAAGAGTTATGTTCCGATGGCACACTTAGTCGCCCGGAGTTCACTAATAACTCATTAGGCAATAAGCAGGGTGAAATCTAGGTGAGAATTACCCAAGTCGCGCGACCACCGCGTTGGCCCCCTTAGCTGTACATCCACATATCGGATATTGGATGAAGGAAAGACATATTATTGGCTACATGAAACAATATGAAAGTGGATCTGTGGCAGATGACTAATTTTGTTTACTTTTGACCCTTTGGGCTTTCCTGTGCGTGGATCTATAAAGAGCCAACATCGCTTAACATGGGGCTCAAATCTTGGATAATGTATCCTCCATCACCACCTTAATTAGAACTCCCACTCACTGCTGTCTAGAGCCCAATTAATCTTGTGAGGGGGGTTTGCCAAGCCGTACAGAACGTAATATGAGTCAGACCATGTCTTTGGGGGGGAGAGAAACTCAGCCGCGCTGAAACCGCACATTTGGCTAGGGAACAACAGAAATTAGCACATACCCTATAGTACCACCGTGGGAATGGAAAATCACTCACATTGACCCAGATACCTGATCATAGATCAGGTTTGTTGTCGTAGCGGGGGTTCGGCTCGATTCCACATGGCAGAAACTGTCTTCTCAATAAGTCAGCTCCAATATCACTGAAAGGAGAGTGATAACAAACTCATTGACTCGGCGAAACTCTCGACGAATGTCATCGCGAGCGTCACGATCTAGGCTCCAGAAATACTCATCCGAAAGAGACTCTCCAGGCACCTTGTCCCATACAATACAGACAGAAAATCCCCCCGGGACCGCATCGTCGTTCCCTTGTTGTGCCTCTTTGTAGCCCAGGAGGGCGGAAGTAACATTACATGCCATGGACTTGAGCCTTTGAAATGCCTTTAGTCCAGTGGGTATATATATCGGAATAGCTTGGAGTGCTCTGGTTTTGGGCTTAGTGTACTCCGTGCCGATGGTTGGGATCTGACGGTGGATTCTCATGAACGCAAGCTTTTGAGTCAAGTAGTCCTTTCGGTAGCAAAGAAACTTTGCCATAGTTTAAACAGGGCCATGACGCTCAACTTCCTTCTGGCTCATCAGAAGGGCTGATTCCTCGAGATGTTGGGTGATGATCCATGTTTGGGCAGGCAACGAGACATATGGATCGGCATCTGTTGTGATCTCACTGCCTTCTAGGCTAGCCAGAAACGGGGTTGTGACCTGGTGCATGACAGGCTGATATATCTTTGCGAAACAGAGCGAAAGTTTGTTGAAATGTAGGCGCGGAATTGGAGAGAATTTGAGAAATAAAAAAGATGATCAATGAGTGACCACAGGACTGAAGTGGAAGCCTTAGGCTTCAGGCTTTACTTCTGTTTACATTTTTCTCTTCCTCTTTCCTCTTCTTTTTCTGGATAACCTTTTTGTTTCAATTGATTGTTCCAACAAAAACCTGTGAGTCACACTGCGATTGTAAATTGATGCATTATTTTGGAGGTAGTATGTGTATACTGACGTCATATTGCCTATACTAGAATATACCACACTGAGCACTCCCCACTGTGGAGTATGGAGTATATAAGCTTATGTTTTGAAAGAATTGGGTTAGGCGTTACCTCGTGATTGATTGTTAACAAGCGGCCAAGGGACGGCGGCTTCAAAAGTGGGGTTCTCTTTATTACCCGTCGACCTTGCCAGCAAGGGTGCGTTTTGGTCACAACTCACGGCCAGAGAGGAAGATTAAGACATTTATTGTGGGTACAAGTCCCTGCGAAGACATCGGAGCTCGAGCAGAAATGAGTTTGTTTTCAAAACTCGCAAATCATGCGCTGGACTTCACCTCCGTCGCCAAAAGCCATCTCCTTTTCTTCAATGGCGGAGATTCAGGCTCCGTCCGGGGTCATAGCGCGGGGTAGTGCCCGTCCGGGGTAAAACTCGCCGAGCCCATAGCCCGCGGATGAGATGACACCGAGACGTGTCCTACTCTGGGATTCGTCAGGTTCTTTAAAGATCGATATTATTTATCTTGGATCCTACACGTCCAATCGCCACCCAGACCATGTTCTACAGACATAGAGAGATCAAGCATCATGAGCATCCAACTTCGTGTTCGGAGGCCAGCCGTCGAAGACACTCTGAATGGGTCACGTTGCTGAACATTTGCCCGTGTCCAGGTGGTACTATATATGTGGAGCCAAGCATAGCGCTAACTAATAATTAGAGCTTACGAGTAACCTCTCCTAGCTCGTCGGTTAAATTCCAAGGTTTACTCGCTCATTATGATAGGCTCGACAGAGGATCAGGAGGGTCGGATTTCAGAGTGGACAACAAGGAAAACCCTGGGACGGGACACAGGCATGACTCGCACTGACTGAACGCGGGAGGATTCTGGACTCTCCCCTAAGATCCAAAGGAGGATATTCTCCGGCGAATAGAACGCCACATCTAGACGCACACCACCACATTTCAGCATACCCCGCAAATGCACCAGTAAATTTCCTCCCCGCTATTACCTATCAGGGCGAGTACATATCAGATCACTTCGCTTGACAAGAACCCGCCATAATCAAGTGACGCTACTACCGTAGTGCCGGGGGAAATGACCCTCATGAATAGAGATGTCGGCTTGTGGAGGTCAAGGTCCGGAGAAAGCTTCACCCAATTAAGCTAAGATCGGGACCATAATCACGAGCATGTCGTCGCGGGTATAAAGATCTGAGACCCCCAGTCGTGCCTGCCTCTCTTCCATTCACCCGTTTCCCCAGAAATCGTCAATATGAATAGCGACATCACAGAGAAGGAGACCTCAGCGTTAGAGGTCGAGGCAACGAATTTTATATACAACGAAGTTCGTAGTAAAGAGGGAATTTCGTTATTACTATGGCGGATTAATTGGTAGGCCGGAATTATTTCGTTTAAACCAGATATTCGTTATAACCAGGTTCGTTATAAACAGGTTTTACTGTACTCAGATGGAAAGATGTCTGCGTTGCTATCTAACTATGCCTCGGGAGTGCTTTTAATCACATGGCCGCTTAGTCATCCTGATCTAGAAACCCCGCAGCAATATGTATCTATCCTCTTTCTTGAATATTTCACACATCTAGAACTCCATAAATTATCTCTCGCAATGGTTAAAGTTCTCTTGACTGGTATGTGATTTTAACTTACCCTCGAGCCCAAGCTAACTATCTACTTTAGGAGGCAGTGGCTTCATCGCCGCCCACATCATTGACATTCTTCTACAACATGGGTATGCGTTAGCCAACATGAAAATACAGAGTATTGGTTGACAGTTTTACTCTAGTTTTGATATAGTTGTTACTGTCAGATCGGAGGAGAAGGGTAAACGCATTATTGAGGCCCACCCCGATGTGTCGAAGGAGAAACTCTCTTATGTGATTGTCAACGATGTAGCTAAGGATGGTGCATTTGATGAGGTTAGTAGAACATCGTGCCCCTGATAGATACACAACTAACGGAAAAACAACAGGCCGTCAAGTCAGACCCTCCCTTTGACTATGTGCTCCATACCGCATCTCCTTTCCATTTTAATGTTCAGGACCCCGTGAAAGACTTCCTTGATCCAGCCATCAAGGGAACCACTGGTATTTTGAAGGCAATCAAGGAATATGCTCCTACCGTGAAGCGAGTGGTAATCACGTCATCATTCGCTGCTATTGTGAATGGCAAGCAGCACCCCAAGGTCTACAGTGAGAAAGAATGGAATCCAGTGACATGGGAGGAGGCGTTGGACCACTCGCAAGTTTACCGTGCTAGTAAGGTAAGTGATACTGGACGGTCAGCCTGAGTAAATGCAAGTGCTAAGTCAGTTCCATACCAGACCTTTGCGGAGAAAGCAGCCTGGGCCTTTGTTGAGAAGGAGAAGCCGAATTTCGATATTGCTACCATCAATCCGCCACTAGTATTTGGCCCGATAGTTCATTATCTCAACTCCCTTGAGGCTATCAACACCTCGAACCAGCGCATCAGAAACCTCATCCAGGGTCAAATGAAGGAGAAAATAGCCCCAACGGGCACTTTTCTCTGGGTGGACGTGCGTGATGTGGCCCTCGCACATGTCAGAGCCATCGAAGTCCCCGAAGCAGGAGGCGAGAGATTCTTTGTCACCGCTGGCTTCTTCTCGAACAAGGAACTTGCGGATATTGCTCGCGAGACCCATCCCGAGTTAGAGTCTAAGCTGCCCCCTGCAGACGCTCCCAGCGACTTCCCGAAAAACATCTATCAGATTGACAACAGTAAATCGCAAAAGATCCTTGGACTCGAGTACCGCCCACTAAAGCAGACAGTCTCAGACACCATCGATTCTCTTCTAGCCGTCGGTGCTTAAACTCATTTCATAGATCCAGATTGAATTGATGGATACATTATGAGAGAACAAATCAAACATTCTTCTTTTACAACAACGTATATGAGAGCAATTTCAAGCAATAAATTCCATCAAGTGCCACGCGTCTTACATCTTATAATAATAAACATGAGAGTTACATCCTATAGATACAAAACTGTGGGTTAACTACAGAACGGCGGTCTCGGTCGTTGTCGCGCACCGTACCGCTTTGGCCCGTGTTCTCCGGTCAACTTTTCTCGCGCCAGCTATCCAAGATCACATAGTCAATCCACTGAACAAGATGGCCTCCGCCAGGCTATCGCCAACGGCGAACTTGCTACGAAACTCGCGTTTGTTCGCACTCCCTAAAACTCTCAAGGGCCGTAGTGGCCAAACGTCGAGAGAATCCGACACCGCGACTCTGCATTATCCCATTCGAGCCTCCATCGTTACACCGCAATCATCACTAGCCCGAGGCGATTGGGGATTGAAACGACCGTTACCGGCTAAGTCAACATCAGAGAAATCATCGAGGCCTGTCGTTAGAGTACACGCTCTCGATACATATGAACATGTCACCGACTTCGAATCCGCCGCAGATCACACCGTCACCCTCGAGAAGTTCCAGGAGCTGCACATGCCTATGTCTCTCCCCTCCAAAGTCAATTACGCTACAAGTGTTGTGCCAAGACATCAAAGTCCGTTCGAAGCGCATCTCGATAACACCGAGACCAGCCAGGGTCTCCAGGAACCTGGTGCCAAGCAATTCAGACACACCGGCCCTTGGCTTGCCGGACAGACGGAGTCAGAGTTCGCAGCGTACTTGAAGCAAGTGACTCGCAATAAGCCTGAGCTCCTGAAGAAGCTTCGTGAACAGTTTGTTGCTAAGCGGTCTGCTGAGATCCGGAAACTGGCACAGGATAATGGAGAAGACTTGGAAGCTCACCCCGCAACTGTCACCGATGCGGAGTTCAATGCCTACATTAAAACTCTGCGCAATGACCCATTCGCTCTCGGTCCCGTGGTCTATGAGCTGCTTGATCTCGCTTCCCCCCCTGCCGTTCCCAGCGAGCGTATCGGGCGCAAGTACTATCAATCTCCTGGAAGCAAGTTGTCCTCATTCGAATACGCCGTCTCAGGACCCCCGAAGACACACCCGTCTGGTGGTCTGTCATACACACGATCACACGCGCTGATTCACAACCATGCCCAGTTTGGCCCACAAGCCCACCAGCGCCCCGTGGAGGCTCGTATCTTGCGCCCTAAGGGCCGCTTTAAGGGACGCATGGCGCGTGCCCTCGCGGGTATTGGTGGTATTGCTGTCGAAGATTTGAATGCCATGACCTTTGTGGAGCAAGGCACACCCCCCGGTCTGACTTTCTTCGATGCGTCCATCCCTGGAGGAGGTAAATACTGGGTTACTCCTATCCGGGCTTCGGTTGACTCCGACGGCCGCATTGGCCTTTCATCTTATCGCGCGAGTGCAACCGCCAAGGCTCCTTACGGCATCGAAGACTACCACAAGCCGACTACTTTGACTATCTCCGATGTTGCCACTGCCCCATCCCCGTTGGTCCCGAGATTGGACAGACTGCCACTCGGTCAGCCTCGGTTCCAGCCTTCCGCGGAGAACCGACCCCGGAGGCAACCCACGAGGGGGACAGAGGATGTCGCACGCAGCCTTCTTAACAACCTTAACTCTAAGTCATAGGGAAAAGTGAAGTTTTATGAGGATGTGCAAGGGATTGTACCATGTATGATAGATTTGGTGCTTGTGTAAAGCTATTTTCGTTTTCTTTTCTGATTATGTCATATATAAGGTGCATCAATATCAAGTTATTTCGACAGCGGTAAAACAACCAGACAATAGATTCAATAATTGTACGTATACTTGAGGATGTACTTTTGATTTGTTTCCTACCTTCGGATATCGCGAAGGATTACATAATCAGATAAGATACGTAAGCCACGTGACTGCTTGATTAGGGCCGGCCTAGGGCAATGACCCACACAGGACTAAGCGAAACCCGATTTCTCAAACCCATCCAAATCAGCACGACTACTCTGGATCTTTCGAACATTCATTCCGCCAGCCAACAACCGCCAAAATGGGTCGCGTCCGTACCAAGACAGTCAAGCGCTCCGCTAAGGTCATCATCGAGCGTTACTACCCCAAGTTGACCCTCGACTTCGAGACCAACAAGCGTATCTGTGATGAGATCGCCATCATTGCCTCCAAGCGTCTTCGCAACAAGGTGAGATTATATACATTGGCACCAACAACTCGAGATCTCCAATTCTGATCCGAAATCTCTTCTAGATCGCTGGTTACACTACCCACTTGATGAAGCGCATCCAGCGTGGTCCCGTCCGCGGTATCTCCTTCAAGCTTCAGGAGGAGGAGCGTGAGCGCAAGGATCAGTACGTTCCTGAGGTCTCTGCTCTCGACGTCTCCCAGACCGAGTCCGGCCAGCTTGACGTTGACGCCGACACCAAGGACCTTCTCAAGTCCATGGGCGTAAGTTTCCACTGCACACTACGATGCGTTGGCATATTTCTAATTTACCTCTACAGTTCGACAACCTCAAGGTCAACGTTGTTGCCGTCAGCCAGCAGCAGCAGGTCGAGCGCCCCCGTCGTTTCGGTCCCCGCTAAATCCAGCGCCCGGAATAACGAAAAAAACAAAAGTTCATACCTGGCCTTCGGTCGACCCTTGGCGGTACCCAAATGTCTGTTCTGGCTGGCTTTTCGCTCGGCTAGCATGGTTTAGCTTAGTGTGGAGGGCTATTCCTGGATGAGGAATGAATAAACATGATTCTCTTTGAGAAAGGTGTCGCTGATTCTCCGAAAGGAGATGACGCTTGATTGCCAATTTTCCTTCCTCGTGTCTACCTACCCATGAGTTTACTCTCTGGTTTGGACCTACGTAGGAGTTCTTGGACTGGGGGTTACCTCAGTCCGAGAGACTCGAGACTTTTGGTGGTTTGAGTCATGCCTGGATTTATACGTACATATTCTATATATGTACGAGTCCTGCTGGCCAGCCTATAGCCATACATATGGTCTCTGTAGATTGTTCATTACTCATGCGTCAATGTCAACATTGATCGGGTATTAATAAGTAGAACGCCGAAAATCCCCTTCGAAATCCCATAGCAGCATTGCTATCCTCAGATCCGATCGAGCAAATCTATGTCTCCATCTTGATCGACGTCTCGTCGCTCCCTGGGCACGTATCCTTCAATGGAACCGCCCCTTGCATCCTCCGGTCGCATCTGTGGAGCGGCAGCCACCTGCTGAGAACCACGTTGATTCTCTCTAATATCAACGTTAACACGTCCATCCGGACGAATCAAGCTGGTATCGCCGCGTTCCAACGCAAGCTCCCGGGACCGATTGCGATTCCCAAGTCCCATGCTCTGTAAATCATCCACAACGGATGAGATACTGCTAGTAGCGGCGGGTGCCTTCAAGCGCTTGGCGCGAGCTTCCTCGAGTAATAGAATAGACGTGCCCCGCGTATCGCCCGCCCGTCGTTCCCACACAGGCTTCTCAGATAGCTGCACCCGGATCCAAAGAGCTCGCTCTGCGCATGCATCCGAGCACCACTTTTCGATGCGGTCCTGTGAAACAATCTCCACGCTGCGTCCACGCCCTCCTGGCCCACTTCCTTTAGGACCGTATTTAAACTGGAACCCGCCTCGCGGGCCGTTGTCTTGCTTGCGATGCTTGTGGGGACATAGAGCATACCCGCACAAGTCTTCGAAGTTTCGCTCCAGGATCAGATTGTCGTAGTCGCTGGGGCGAAATGGGGCTAGCGAATATTTGAGTTTTACAGCATCTTCTTGCGACGGCGCGGCTGGGTCCGCTGTCGGAGAAGAGGGGAGCTCGAGGAGCTCAAGGATGCGGTTAAGGATGACATCTTCGGCATCCTTTTGGGTCTGAATCTGCTGCGCGTGTTCCAGTGCGACTTCGAGGTGCTGCTGGGTCGCACCGGGCCTACCTTCTAGGTATTTGTCTTGCTCTTCTTGTGTAGGGTATAGGTATGAAGGTGGGGGTCGCTGGGCATTGATCGCGGCATATGTCTCGGGAAGAGAGGTCTTGAGAGCGTGACTTGGCCCTTGGTGTGCCATGGTTCTTAACTGAGGCCCCTGGAGGATAAGCCAAGGGTAGTTTAAATTGAAGATGGGTTGAGTTGGGAAGTGAGAGGAAATAGAAAAAATAAAATCAGCAGAATTCGACTCCAAAGCGGAAGAGGCAAAACCCCGGATTGACCCCCAATGGGAGGAGGGACACTTTGACTGCTGACGTAGGCTTTGGGCATCCAGGATATGTATGGATGTGTGGAGGTTTTATGCTTGCTATTTGACATCGCATAACTTGTAGATATTGACATATGGTATCCTACAATATGCAATATATACATACTCGGTACAGTCTACATATGGAATATTTCTCTCGACCTAGGTAGTTATATAGCTTCGACGTCAATAGCCTAGCTACATACCAAACTATTTAACGTACATCACCTAAAGACAAGTTGAATACCCACATATATCTAGAATCGGTATAAATTCCCTTGGTATTTCAACACATCTAGGCATTTTCCCCCATGTGCGTGTTCCTTGGTTGATGTGTTAAGCCGCCGATCGTCCAGTGGAGCCCATTTCCCTCATCCCGCCAAGTGACGACCACCTCGCTGCTCCGTACATCCTCCTCCCCTACTACTTTTTTTTTGTCTTTCCGACCGTGTTCCTTTTTTCTCATCTTGCATCAATTCTCTACTGGCCCCGGTTACGGTGTTCGGTTCTCCACGCCGTGAGTGTTTCCGCAGTCCCCCCTCCCCCCCTCATCTCCCCCGTAGGCATCCACTCACTGACGTCCGTTTCATCTAAGCTGACACGCCTTCGTACCACAAAGGAATTGATTCGTTTCGCCTTAAATATTGCTGCATGCTAAAGGCATTGAAGCCGGCGATTCGCTCTGTACAGATATTCTAGCATCATTGCGTCACAGACTCGTTCAGCATTCCTCACTCCACACCGATTGTCCTAAGGCCTGAACATCGGTCTCGGCTTGCCAGATGTCAGTTCCGCCCTTCACGGTCCGCTCGGTCTTCGAGTACGCGTCGGGCCACGATGATGACCTCAACTTCCCGATCGGTCAAATCGTGACCGTCACCGCCCTGGAGGACGACGATTGGTACTACGGTGAATACTCAGACGCCCAGGGGGCCAGACAGGAGGGCATCTTCCCGAAAAACTTCGTTGAAAAATATGAGCCTCCGGCCCCTCCGAGGCCATCTCGACCCAGGCCCAAAAAGGAGCCCGAGACGTTGCCAGTGGAGTCTCCCGTGGTCGAAAGCAAGCAGGCTGAGCGCGAGCCCGAGCCCGCGGTGCAGCCTACAGAGGAAGATTATGGGATTCAATCTTCGCAGCCACTGCCCCAGTCCCCTCGTCTACATGCGAGTGCCCCTGTATCAGAAGTTGTATCCTCGCCCCCGCAGCCAGCAAAGGCGCCCGCTCCCGCCCATCCCGTGGCCCCAACCGAATCCGCAGCCAAAGCACCCTCAAAACCTGCGCCTCCAGCTGTAGCGGATAAGCCCTCGGGGTCATCATTCAGGGATCGTATTGCTGCCTTCAATAAACCTGCCGCTGCACCGGTTACGCCATTCAAACCCGGTGGTTCCCAGCCATCCTTCGTCAAGAAGCCTTTCGTCGCACCACCTCCTAGCCGGGATGCCTATAAGCCTCCACCAAGGGAACCTGCGCCCAAGATCTATAAACGAGAGGAGGATCCAGATGTGAAGGAACAAATTGCCCGCGAGCCTCCGGTTTCTGAAAGCCGGCCTGCCCATATTGAAGGTGGCGAAGAGGGAGCAGAGGACCAGCCTAAGCCAACTAGTCTGAAAGACCGAATTGCTTTGCTTCAGAAGCAGCAATTAGAGCAAGCTCAACGTCATGCAGAGGCAGCTCAGAAGAAAGAAAAACCCTCTCGCCCTCCCAAGAAGTCGATGGACGAACCCGTGGCTCCCGCAGTCCTCGACGAGGAACAGGAACCTCCCTCCGTTGAAGAACCACCGGCTACTCGCGATACTAGTGTTGATACATTGAGGGCTGCGGCCCCTCCTTCACAGCCCCCTGCCCCATTCTCACCCACCCAGGAAGTCGCGAGTGACGCCAATGATGCCGACTACTCCGCTGCTGCAGACTCCGAGGATGCCGGCGAAACATCCACCAGCAAGGACGATGAGGAAGATCAGGCTCAACCGCGTCCAGTTTCTCGTCGTCAACCGTTGACTCCTGCAGTCGAACAAACTGCCGAGGCAGATGTTGAAGACGAGGGCGATGCAGAGGAAGAGGAAGAGGAGGAAATGGACCCTGAAACTAAACGCAGAATGGAGTTGCGTGAGCGAATGGCCAAGATGAGCGGAGGAATGGGCATGATGGGTCTCTTCGGCCCGCCTATCGGAGGTATGCCAGGTATGCCAGGTATGGCTAGTGCCGGTAGTGCTCGCAAGCCCAAGACTCCCATCGAGTCAGAGAAGCGGCTTGGAGAGCTCGAATCTGAGCCCACTTCCCCTGCCAATGCGCCCCCTGTCCCTATGATCCCACTTCCTGGGATGAACGCGGCTAGCAAGCCGGTACCTTCTTATACTGAGGTGGAGAAGGAAGAGGAGGAGCCTTTGGCAACTCCTCTCACTGAACAACACCCCGCACGCGATGTGCCAGACGTCGAGGAGGTCGTCCACGAAGGTGCACTGCCTCGTACCTCTATTGACCGTCCGGCCCCGGCTCCACCATCTCAAGGTAAATTATTCTCCAGCAGTCTGATGCATGGTTCCAATTCCTGATAGTCGCAGATCGTTCCGCGCCTCCTCCGCCTCACCGAGAGTCAAGGCCCGTCCCGACAGTTCCAGTCGAGCCACCGGCTTCACCTCCGCCAGTTCCTGCTGGTAAGTACCCAGATCCGGAAGCAAATTATACGACCTGGGCATTAACGATGATATACAGGTCGACCAGCTCCTCCTCTACCACGGCCCACAACTGCCGACAAGGGCGAAGAGTCTGATGATGAATTGTCGGTGCACACATCTACTCTGTCGTTGAATAATTCGCCTGCTCCACCACCCGTGCCTACACATGCGGTTCATGAACATATTGACTCTCGCCGATCTTCAATATACGACCCTATGCCCTCTACGGCTTCGACCCCCGCGGCTGAAAAGAGAGCTAGTCGTCTACCACCCCCTATTCCAGTCAATCCGCCAATGCCACCATCGGCGCAGGGCCGCGCTCCCCCTCCCCTGCCTTCTGACCAGCTTCGTCGCCGATCTACCGTCGACAGTCGCACGAGTGCGTTATCTGCTCCTCGACAGGCTGGAGAAGAAGCGGAAGGAGAGGTGACTGAATATGATGGAGACTATGACACAGATATCGCATCGGGTGTGAAACACAAGGATGCTCTGAAAGCCCACGAGCGTGAATCCAGCTTTGACGAGGGTATTTTCACCGACGACTATTCCATCCAGTCTCCGCGCAGCCCCCAGGAATCCCGGCATCATCACCTACCTCCTCCTCCACCCACGGCTCCCAGAGCAGTTCCGCCTCCACCGCCAAGCCAGCCGCCCCGGAATGCACGTGCGTCTATCGACACACCTAGGGGACCGCCGCCCCCTCCGCCGGACAGAGAGCCAAACAGCGATGATGATGTTGAATATGACCCTTTCAACTACGCTGCTCCCCGACATGGTCTTCCGGCGTCTCCACCCGTCCCAGTCGGTCGCCCAGGGCCGCCTCCTCCTTTCCCAACACAAGCGGCCGATGAATTTGACGATCTATATGATGCCCCTCCTGTGCAAAGCCCAGTAAGAGAAAGGAGTGATAAGCGCCTTTCACTGGCGCTTCCCCAAGGCCAGGCTTCGGGTTTGCCATCCCCGTCCGCAGCTCGAACCCAGCGCGCATCTGTGGATATTCTAAGAAGTCAGCCCAATCTTCGCCGATCTATGGATGTTTCTCGCCCATCTATTGACCAAGGCTACATCGCCACCGATGTTGATTTCGCCGCGTATACCCTCTGGTGGACTAAACCCAAGACACCGCCTCCAGCTTTCCAGAACCGTACTGATCTGCTTTTCGAGGTCGAGGAGACTGCATCTACGAACCGCAGTGGCAAAACGACAGTCTCTAAGGACGTCTATATTCTATTCATCGATTACTCTCAGACAGTGTTGAATGTCCAGTTCGATCCCAAGAACCCCAAGGATGCTTCCTTCGAGCAGCGCCATGAACCCCCACCGCTCCCGTCTCGCCAGGATCAGCTCGAGCAGGCTCACATTCAGCTTGGAACCCGAATCTCGGAAGCCGTCAACTCGGTCCAAAACTCTACCGTTGGAGACGGCACTCCGTTCGGATTGGTCCAGCACCTGCTCAGTCCTCTTTCCGACGCGCTACTTCCGGTGGGGACCCGCGCTTACGGTGCCTCGGTTTATTCAAACCTGGCCAATGCCTCCGTGTCTCAGAACGATGAAATCCGCGCTGGTGACATTGTCAGCTTCCGCAATGCCCGATTCCAGGGTCACCGCGGTACTATGCACCAGAAGTACAGCGCCGAGGTTGGAAGACCCGACCACGTCGGCATCGTGGTCGATTGGGATGGCACGAAGAAGAAGATCCGAGCCTGGGAGCAAGGCCGCGAGAGCAAGAAGGTCAAAATGGAGAGCTTTAAGCTCAACGACCTCCGTAGTGGTGAATGCAAGGTCTGGCGAGTGATGCCCCGTAGCTGGGTGGGCTGGGAAGCCAGTAAGTAACAGGATGGTCTTTTTTGTTGCTGTGATTGCGCTATGAGCAGACGACCCTTTCTTTTGTGTTTTTGCTTGCCCCTTCTAGATTGGGTGAGATCATGTATGAATGAAAAGGTACCTCCTTTCTCCCCTGTCTTCTATATTCTTCTCCCTCTTCTCTTGTCTTTTCCTGTCCTGCTCCCCTCTCGCGAATCATGTGGACTTGGTGTGGTAATGTGAGATGGGAAACGGTGGTCCCTATGTGATGGAGAGTTGAGCGAGCGTGCAGCTTTTCGTTTTTTTTTTTGTTAATGGTACATCTTGCATGATTCTATCCCCCGCAAACTATGAGATACTATTCTCGAATTTCTGATGTATAAGTGGTCATGTCTTGATTCGTAGATAAGTTGCCATGTAGGGAAATTGTACATGCTGCTTAGGCCAACGATGACGACAATATATCTCCTTAGGGGTCGTCTCCGGTACCGAGCACGGAATAGTCAAGTTTGTACTTTGCACGAGTGAGGATAATGCTCACCTGCGTTCTAGACCTCGACGCCCCCGTCTGAAATAAATTAAGACTAGGATTCTAGCGAGCTAACAAAGTTTTCTCTAATTAACGGATCGAAATTCGATGACGGACACCAAACCCAATTGCCGACTCCACCTGAGACCAATTCATACTCCGTATGACCGTCAGCCGAGTTAAAACAGTGCGTCAAACTTGGCCTAACCCACAACCAGGCACAAACCTACAATATTGAATCGATCTTGAGCACCGTACGGAGCACAGTGGCGAGGAATCACCAGGTGAGCAATGAGCGGATCAGCCGTGGTCATACGACTATGGCAGATTCTAACTATTGCTTCATGAAGACCGTCGAGAGAGACCGGGGGCTGCCCGGTCCCGGCAACCCCTCTTCACTAACAGTGGATGGGGGAGGAGGGCCTCCAATTATAATGCTCGTTTCGTTTTTTTTTTGTTGAGTTTCCACCGGTTTGGTGTTGGCATGTTCGGTGGAGAGTCCCTCGTTGGTGGAAGCCCCTGGATCTCCGGCTAGTACTCCGGATATTGATATTCGCGATCGGGGTTTCTCGATTCCGAGTTGATCGTGGGTTTCTAATATTGGATTATCGGGATCTCGTTGGTTTCGATGCATTCTGGAAGTATAGCTCGTAGATAGATCCAAGGTGACAATATCCAGTGGTACTCGGGAGTGTAGTGTATGGCTGATAACCAGGACTTTTGCCCGGGAATTTTGTTTTCTCTAAAAATGAAACCGAAAAATTCGGCCACGAGGGATTGGCCCCGCGGATTGCTCCGTTGGTTGAGACCCGGTTGGCGGATGCTTTCCGGTACGTTATCGATGTCTTTCGATGCTCCGGATACTCCGTACGGAGTGCTCCCTGGTATTATTGGATTGACGGTGATGACATCAATGCAATCAAAGCTACGGAGTAGATATCATATTTATGATACATACATAACTTGGAAGTGGTTAACAGCGCTCGAAATGTACAAGAAAAAACAAGATCCCGAGTTAAATTAGTATCCAGATTCGGACTAGTCAGGGGCACTACACCAACTTCCCTAGGGCTAATGATTCGAATCACGCCTATCGGAAGGTGGAAAAGCTTATAGGCGGGGCTTTCCCAAACGGCTGTCAAGCCTACCGGCCAAGACGCACCTGGGGACGCGCTAAAGAAGTTTGCTCCTTTTTATTTTATTCTAGGCTTTGGGGATGTTCTTCGGTTCCACTCAGATCGGATGAATCCCTAATATCAACAGACCCCTATCATAAATAGTTGCTGGGTCGAGTGGAGATGGACTTGGACTCTATCGTAGCATCTACCATGGTTCAGCTCTTGCTGCTAACATTGCTGTTGATCCACAACCATTACTAGTTAGTTACATGTAGTGGTGGTGATGGTGTAGAGGATATCGGAAATCCAACATACATAGCCTCATCAGATGCAGCGAATGCCTTGTCATGCACGCTGGTCCTGCAGAGTCGGAACATTCATGAGTTCGTTAGGTTTTGGCCTATCTTGTGTCATTGTTGTACCACTAGTACCTTATGTTGTGGCTGACCATTGTTTTCCAAAGCAAGTCATATTTTCAATATATTGCTCTATGGACATAGTGCAGATTAAGATCGCGACGAACCTCCCACGTATCTTCCAACTTTATTGCATGTTGTACGGGGTACGGGAGTATGGCATGTCTGATTAGTGGGATTACTAGAGAGTTACAACCAATGAATTTCCCTTGCTGCCGGCTTCCTAAGTAAGGAGTTTCACATTATACAGTATGTATACTGTGACTCGATCCTATTTCTCGATTCTGATATGAGAGATTGGACGGATGAACTACTCCGGACCGTGACCACCTTCCACATTCAAAATCCTGCTCCCAAACTGTGAAATGAAGTAATGGGGCGACGATCTTGGTGTTTCCCGTGTCCAGGCCCCCGGGACCCCCTAGCGAATGGGTGTTTTTCATTGCTTCATTACGGAGTCCCCCGATGTCATAAGAACATTGGAAATAACATCGCACACACACCACCGAATTGCATGTTTCGAACCAGAATTGGCCACATCGACATGTCCAATCTCGCAGTCATCAGGGTGGCGCTCAGCCCCAGGTTCCACATTCCGGAAGCGAGACCAGAAGGAAGAGGACAGAGGGAAAAGGAAAGAAGAGGGGGATGTGATCCTGAACATTTTATTTTTTTATCTTACGCAAGGGGGGTGAAATGGATGACGGTAAGTTTGGGCAGTGGCTACCTGATGTTGAGCGGAGTCTACACTGGTCGCCTAAGTATCCATACCATACCGTACCTGCATCGGACCATGGATGCAGGCTCGGGAAGCCCCTTGGGGCATGGACAGTGCAGGCAATGCAGGTCTGCTGAAACAGTAAATAAACAGAGAATATAGATCGTATATAACATTCTATATCGCTACCGAGAGATCCAAGGAATATAACCATTAGAATAAAGAACACGAACGGTACTTAATTTTGATCCGCTGGTGGACACCCCATTTGAGACGATCATCTAGATCTTATTTTTTTTTCTCTTGGTAATATCGTATGCCGCTAAGGGCCCTGGACAGTTACAGTTCTGGATCCATTCCAAATCTCCCCCTCCCATCGCATTCTTCGCGTCAATTTCCCCAGTCATTCTTTCTTTTCGACCTATTTCCTTCTCGACGGACTCTGCAGCATATTGCGTCCCGTTTCTCTCATGCTGTGATCTGTCAATCCCCGCTAATTACTCTGATTGGTCTGGCACCCGGACCATTCACGGTACACGGCGTGAACTCGGTATTCCTGGCGCTTCTTCTCTTCAGGGGACGTCTCTCTCTCCCTGACCTCCATCTGCACTTGTTGTTGCACTTGAAGGTCATGCCGCTCATTTCATTCTCTGGATAAGGACATCCATTGAGTCACTTTGACCGCATTGAGCCAACCCGGGACACTGATCGTCGTTGAAGCTACTACTACACTCTCGGATTTATCGACATTCACTCAACCCAATCGTAAAATTATCGAAGCGCATTCATTCCTTTCCAATTACGAGGTGGCCCCTGAGCACCTCGAGCATCCCAATGATGAACCGATTCCGCAAACACAAGAAGGCGAAGGAGGTCGCGGAGGAAGAAGCGACATCGCCAGGATTCAGCCTAAAATCATCGAAGAAGAAGGTGGTCGAACCGGAACCCAAACTAGATTTCGACCTATCAGCCGCACTCCCGCCGACAGACAACTTCCGCACCAGTCTGCTAATGCCCAAGTTGTCCGCTCGATTTAGCATGCTCAAGGAACAGGACGACCCACTCTCAATGCTAGGCAAGGCTAGTGATGATAGCGTTCTATTTCCCAAGCGCGCTTCCCGACTCAATTTGTTCGGTCACAACCCCGCCATGCTGACAGACATTGACGAAGTTTGCTCCAATGACGGTAGCCGACCATCCTTTGCACTTGACCGCACTTCTTTCGCTTCCGGTGGGGACGGCTATGGTACGGACGACGATCGATCCCAAACGGGCAGTATGATGAGCAGAGCCCGTCGCGCCGAGGGCAATAATCTGTTTGGAGGTCGCCAAAAGATTTATAAGATTCCGGTCAGATCGCCAGCGGCAACAACCCCCGATACGCCCGACGCTGGTCGCTGGGGAATGGGAAAGCCGGTCTATGAGCATGACTTGAACCTATCTGCGTTTCAGCGATTGCGTCTCAAGGAGAAGGAAGAGAGAGCGGAGGCCGCGGCTGCCCGGGAATCTGGATATGCCGCCTCAACTGCTTCATCTAACAGCCGACTCACATACTCCTCCACCGCATCTGGACCACTGTCAACAGTCCCAACATCAACTGTAGGAACCTCCGCCGACGAGTCACCGTTGACCACGTCCCAAGCCCCAGCGACGGGCTATCCGTTCCCCGAAACCCTCCCTGAGGACTCTCGACCCGGTCCTGGCCCCATGTCTGGCCCGCGCAATGGCTCGGTTCGGAGCCGTCGTCTCTACGGACAAGGATTGACACAGGCTGTTCAGAGCCAGCAGAGCTCGACTTTGAACCGCCTAGAGAGTCTGAGTCGCCAGCGTGCTGGCACTCCAGATATTCCCTCTTTGAACCGTAACTTCTCCAAAAGTGCCACCAACCTAAGGGACCACCTGAAGCTTGCGATTGTCGAGCCGGCTTCTACCACAGGCCCGACTAGCCCTCCTCCATCTGCAACATCATCAAAGCCACGAATGTCCGGAGAAGCCGGGTTCAAAGACCATCTCTCGCCTAGCACAGCAACGTTTGGGGCTCCTCCCCTGAGCCCTCCCACAAGCGAGAACAACGACGTTCCCTCACTGTTGGCTGCCTCAATTAACCCAGATGATCATGGAAAGGCTACCGCTATGGGCTTGTTCCACCGGCCTGCCACTGGTTTTGACGAGCAGGCATTCTCCCGCCGCCAACTTCAAATGCACCAAGGCCGAGAGACCCCGCCCCCTCGCCGCGCATCGCCTCCGCGCCGACCTCTACCGGCTGAACCCGTGGGCCGTGCTCGGGGACTGTCGAAGTCTAGCTATCGTTCCACAGCAGAGTCGGCCTCATCTCACTATAGCATCGATCCTTCCTCCAGCGTTGAGGCTTCTCCCTTCAGACCTGGAGTGAGGACTTTCTATGCTAACTCAAGTGCCAGCGAGTCTGGTGATGACGGAGAGAGACCTTCCTCGCGTGAACTGTCATCTCTGGCTAGCGAGTACGGTCCGCCGCTTCAGCAGTCCAGTGTGGGATCTAACAAGCCATCAACTTCCACAAAGGATCATCTCGAAACGCTTCCCGAAGTGAGATACTCCGACCTAGGTGATCTTAGACCTATTGACGAGGACGGCCTTGACTTCACAATTTCTTCCCCCGTAGTCAGCGATAACACACCCAAACGACCTGACTCACCAACCCTGGAACCAGATCAAGGCTTTGGTGGAATGGGGGGACTGGTTCGATCTCACCTACGCCAGGAAAGTGAGATGTCTTCTATCTTCCCTCCTCCTTCACCTCGCTCGTCAGAGCACCAAAATGACAAACATTTTCCTAAGACCGGGACCCCCCAGCCACCGAACGGTCTTCCTACGATAACACAAACCCGTGATGAAAGTCGGTCATCATCAAGAACCCGCCCAGGAACATCGAGCTCGCGATCTCCTTCTGGACATTCTGTCGAAGGTGCAGGTTCTCGAAACAGCGCAGGGTCATCCGCACCTGGAACTATTGCTGACACACCTTTATCGAACGGCCCGTCCTGGAGGGAGGAATTAGAACTTCATCATCGCCGTCATGGCAGCACCGAGACCCAAAGGGAACGAGAGGAATTCGCCATCGAGCTGGCAGAGAGACGTAGAAAGGTGCAGGAGAAGCTGCGTAGTGTCGCTGAGAACGAAAGCCGATCCAGCAGCCCCAACCCGGGCCGGTCAACCCCAGAATTCTCCCGGGCTGGTAACGCATTTGCCATGTTGAAGCAAAAGTCTAGTAAACAAGCTAGCACAAAGCCGGATCAGAAGAAGTTGTTTGGTTATGTTGGTGGCAACTCGTCTACGCCTGCTCTCTCAGATGGCTCGTGGCGCGAAGAGGAGCGACCCTCTTTTAGCTTCGGCCAGCACCCCAACTCCAGCTCTCCCCACATTGGATCAGAGCGTTCGATCCGTTCTCGTATGCCATCTATCAGCCGCGACAACAGCTACGAAGAATCACGCGAGTCAAGCCGCAGCCGTGGCGACTCGCCTTTCCGAGACCGTGCAGGCTCGGATGCATCAGGCCGGTCTAAGAGTCGAACAAGACTTCGGGATGATCTTCAAACTGTGAACGAGGGTCCAATCGAGAAAGGCTCTGAGCCTCCTCTGCCCGTCTCGCGTCCGACATCGAGTCGCCCATCAGCAGAAATATCCGACCCTATGAGTTTCGAACGCACTTCCTCTGTTGCTTCGGGCAGACACCGCAGTAGCAGCCGATCCGGCACACCAAGCTACCAATATGAACGGCCCTTCCAGTTCTCGTCCAACACGTCCTCAATCATCGGCGCCTCGCCTCGGGCCCCACCCGCCGCGCCGGGCTACTCTGCCAATGCGACTCCTCCGCTGAACGAAATGCCAACAGACGGCTCGTCTACATCCCTGGCTTCTTCGTCCAGCGGCTCGCAGAATTCTCAACGCGCTTTGGGATCTGCGTCCCTCACCAAGCGCCCCGTGAACAAAAGGCTGATTTCCGAGCCTACCTTTCTCTCATCCACAGCAAGTGTCCCTCTCGTCGGTCTCCCACCCGGATCCGCGCTGCCTTCACCCGTCAGCGCACCCCCAGTGCCACCTATGAACCCCCGCCGTCGCCGTGGAACCGCCACCCAAACCATCTTGGGTGCGTTCAAGATCGACAAGACCGATTCTTCACGTGTCTCGTCCCCGGCCCCGAGCGCCGAGGACGAACACAGTGTCTTCCCAGATGATGAGAAACGCCCGCGCTCTCGAAACCGTCTCCGCAAGACTTCCAGCGAGGGCGGTAACCTGAATGCGCGCGCGCGCCAGGAATCCATGGCGGACATCCCGCCGGCTGTTCCTCAATATCCGCCTCCCGCTATCCCCGCCGAGGGAGGCATGTTCTAAACACAACGTCCCTTCCCATCCCATCCTGTACACATTCACCCTCCCTTGACCTAGGCTCTCTTTATTCCTTTGTCCTCTGTCTTCTCATTTACCTACATCTACTCTGCCTATCACTCCCTCCAAACCCCCCTTTTCCGGGCCTTTTCTTCTCTTATCTGGACTGTCTTGTCATTTCTGCTGTTGACGACTAGATACCACTCGGTGCATTTGAGCGTCTCATGTCTACTTTCGATCTTTTCCTTCTTTCCTTTGTGTTATACACACCTTTGAGCTGGATTTTCATCTTCCACGTATGTACTTTATTTTCGAATTCATGGATACACTACTCGATACACTGGATATTATGGTCTTGTAAACTTTGTTACTCGTAGCTTCAGGTTGAACAAGGCTATATTGCATACTCTCTAACACGCCTCATTCAAGCCCCGGCCACTACACAGTAAATTGGATAATGTGGACGTATTCCCGTAGATTCGATTATAGGACGATCAAGCATTGATCTTATTGCGCGCGCTTGGAAAGCATCTTAAATGGTATATAATTGCTTTTAATATAGTATCATACATTTTCATTGAAATTAGTTCAAGATCTATCCACCGCCGTCTTGAGGTATCCCAAGACCCTCTCAACAAGCCACTTCCGCGCCTCAGCTTGGTCATCATTACTCAAAGCATGAGAAGCATTAGGGATAACGCCAGTGTGCGTTTGATCCCAAATCTGATATTTGCCATCATGGTCCGTAGCCTTCTGCCACCTCGCCAGCATCTTGTTCTTATCCACATAATCAGGAACCGACTGATCCTTCCCAGAGATCAATACCATCAGCTTATGATTCAACAGTGCCTGCTCTTGAATCCGACCAAAGGTAGTCAAAAAGTGGTCATCGCTGAGATCCGAGCTGAACAGATCATCCTCCTGCGGCGACTGCGGACTCTCAGGACTAACCAGACTCAAGAATCTGCGACAGCTAATCGGCGTATTGGCAGGATAAATCATAGAAGTCAACTCCAGAGGAAGGATAGTATCATGGGGCTTGCCCTCGGCAACAGCCGCCTTGGCCAGCGCCTCCATCTCATCATATACCGCACGTGCCTTCTCAGGCGTCGTATCTCCAATGCCCCACTTCAACACGCAGAAGATAGCCTCGCGGTCCGAAACGGGCGCTTGCATGATCGCGCCGTCCAGCACGGGCCGCTTGATGTGTTCGATCTCCGGGTCGAAGGCCGGGATCTTGGTGTGCGGGTTTGGCTTGGAGAGGTAGTGCAGCACGCACTGGCTGCCCGTGGAATGGCCCATCAGGGCGATCTTGCCGCCGCCGAATTTGTCGCCTTTGTAGCTTTTGATGTATTCCAGACACTGGGCGATCTCGTCCGTGTCGCGGTCGAGATGGCCGAGGCCCCAGGATTGGTAGGAGGATGTGAGGTTGAGGGTGAAGAGGGACCATTCGGTTTGCTGTAGGGAGTGGGCGAGATCGGCCATGTAGGATGTTGTTGCGAGGCCATCGCCGAGTCCGCCGACGAAGAGGAGACTGTGCGGTTGGCGGACGGTGCTGGAGGTGGATTCGAATGTGACGAGGGTTTCGGTCTACATGGTTTCAATTGTTAGTTGTAGTCCCAATTGTTATTGTTGACAGCGGTGCGGGAACATACGTAGTGGTGCAGGATACCGGGAAGGCCTCCTTTGGGCCAGAACTTGGACATGTTGGCGTGTGTGTGTGTGTGTGTGTGTAAATGTGTGTAGTGGGGGTAGTGTCAGTTGAAGGGAAAACTATTCTAAAAGCTAGAGAGGGCGACCTCCGGGACAGGATCTTTTCTTTAATGAGCCAATTGCCGAGATCGGGCTCTATGTCTCTCCGGCATGACGGAATGTGGACAATTTTGTGTCGGTTAGCTTGGACCGAATAACGCGATCCACAAGGTGAACGGTTTCAGGCCATCTTATCAATCTGATTATACCGAGGCAAGCCGAGATATTAGGTAACAAGTCTCACATCCATGGAATGTTCAGTGCCAAGGTCCAACGTTGGAAGTTAGGGGGAATGCGGGAAACTGCAGACTTTTTGAGGAAATTATATCGATGTCTTGAATCAGGTACATGTATTTCAAGGTACCCGTTCAGGTAATACTCTGTATTGGAAAACAACGGGCTGTTACGTATTGGATACAGCGGGATGTATTTCGTCATAACGGTAAATACAGCAATTCAAGCTCGATTACGCCTGTTACGGCTAGTAATTATACAAAGCTTGCACGGGAAGTGAGATGGCCAATGAAACTCCACCGTTGAAACGACACATGCAGACTAGTCGGCACTAGCCTGTATAGGCAGGATCGACGGATCTGATTAGATTGATTGGCTGAAAACAGGAGAATCTGATTAGATTGCCCCTCTTTGAAAACTCTACCCAACGTGCAGGTTCGGCCGAACGTTCGTCAGCATCTGATCAGCATGTGCATCTCAACACAAGACTTTTCTGAAATGCTTAGGAAGTCTTGGTCAGCCTTACCAGGCTCATTCGAAGATCTTTGCCTGAAGAGGTTGTCGTCGTGTATAATATTATTCATTCGGATTCGAATGTAGACATTGTGCAAAAATAAGATTAAAGTATATGCGTAGCTTTTATCAGACCACGAAATTAATATAGACAAGTGGATGGCTACTTTGTGGCGTTTGCAAGAAATCCATTTAAACTTGTCTACAAGCGAGCCAAGAAATCAACGTAAGGAACGTGCGCGACAGAGTGAGGCCTTTATCAAATTTTCTTTTTAATATTCCACGCTTATTGCGCGAGGTCCAAGCGGATATTGACTTATTATTATGTACTATTGTTCAATGTATTCGGATGATTCTATGCTAGTACATTGCGAGAAGTGTACACGACTGGTACACGACACACATGTGCGTGTGATTTTTCAAGGTGGGTCTCGGAATGCAAGAATATCGAAAATCCCCTTCCTCGTTCTTCGCTTCCATCGGGCTTTTCCGCTTGACACGCACAATCGTGGATCCCCTAAGCAATTGGCCTCCGAGACCTCGGAGAACCATTCTTTTTCAGTTTGGAGTGCCTTGATGTGTTTCAGAATAGGACGATCATATTCAGGCTGACTGCAACATCTGTTATTTTAATTTATGTCTTGATGGTGAGCAATATCCTAACTGGGGTCTTCCGTAACCAATCTTGGCGTAGCATTTCCTTTTTTCCCTCGTTTTTCCCTTCTTTCCTCTTGTGTGGAGTCTGTGGACCCGATACGTCCTGTATCATACAGTATTGTATGCAGCTTTGAGATCTGAAATCACATACGACATACACGTATGGGTCCAAAATGCTCAGGAAAGATGAAACGGCCACATGCTTCGGCTTTCATACTGCCTTCCAGAACGGGCGTGAATAATCCACTCACCCCGCAATAGCCGATCTCGGTGATGATATGCAAAATACATGCAGGGCACATTCAGGATATCTTCGGAGCTTTCAAGCCTTGAGGTGGAGCTGATGCAGAACCGTGTCTAGTTGGCTATATAGTGACACACTTCCGTCAAATTAATCCGCGCAAAGGCTCCCGATCTAACAATCAAGCTCCCAATCCCTTCACATAAACTCGAGGGTACCAAGACCAGCTGCGCTGGTCAGCCGTCAAAATGGGCTTCATACCTCTCGAAGATGCCAATATTCGCAATGCGCCAAATGGAATTGAGAAAGTGCCAACAGACGTCAATGGCGACTTTAGCTCATTCCACATTGCGGATCTTGCCTCTGAACAAATCATCACTCCGACCGGCATGAAGGAAGAGATCGTGCTGTTGTCCTGGCTCATTGTGTTGTTGCGCAGCCGGGAAGACAGCCAAATATCATACGACTGGTCCTACAAATATTCCGCAAATGGCGCTGAGCCCGAGTCAGTGAACAAAATATTGATGAATGAAGTAATGAAAGGATTACAAAGTAATGTGGGAGAAGTTGCGACTGCGATCTCTCGGAATATCACCGCGGGAGCGTCCAGTGACGCATCGCTCGTTTTGAGTACCAGCTCTCTTTCGCGAACATCGGAAGAAGCCAAAGATGAAGTAAGTGAACGATTAAAACCATAGCCACTGAATTATAACTAACCGTAATTGAAAAGGGTATGCTTCATCTCGAAGTTCGGTTCGATAATGCCCACCTCGAGATCCGCCCATTGTGGCACACCGAGAACATGTTGCCGTACACAGTGAAGCACCATGTCGAGGCACTTGCCGACACTGTCAGAGTATGCCTCGGAAATCCCGATGCGACAATTGAACAATGTCTTCGCCCGACTGAAAGTGATCTGAACGATATATGGGGGTGGAACCACGAATTGCCTCCCACCTACAGATTTTGTATGCAAGATATGGTCGCTGAAAGAGCTCGCGAATACCCAGACAAAGTCGCCATTGATTCCTGGGATGGCAGCTTGACCTATAGCCAAATTGATCAGTGGTCCACTTCCGTAGCGTGCTCGCTCAAAGAAATGGGCGTTGAGCTGCACGATGTCCTCCCCGTGTGCTTTGAGAAATCCAGGTGGACGATCGTCGCTGTGCTTGGAGTGATGAAAGCAGGCGCAACTCTTGCGCTCATGGATCCAACACTTCCGCTTGCCCGTCTTCAAAACATGGCTGTACAGGTCGGCGCAAAGTCCATGGTTTCATCCCGCATGCAGTATGAGCTGTCGCTGGAGATCATGCCCACTGGAAACCACTTCGTCGTTGAAGAAGACGCTTTCACAAATCCAGCAAAGTCCCCATCAATTTCCGACTTACCCGATGTACCATCCTCCGCCCTCATGTACATCATCTTCACCTCTGGCAGCACGGGCACTCCGAAGGGAGTGAAGATTTCCCACCAAACTTACACGAGCAGTGCAATCCCTCGAGCAAAGGCAGTTGGATACACGCCAGAGTCCAGGGTGCTTGATTTCGCATCCTATGCTTTCGATGTCAGCATCGACAGTATGCTTTTAACACTCGGAAACGGTGGTTGTCTTTGCATTCCATCCGACGAGGATCGACTGAATGATATCAACGAAGTTATCCGCAAAATGCGAATTAACTACGCAGGCCTGACCCCCTCAGTGGGCCGAATTTTGGACGCGGATGTCATCGCATCGCTCAGCGGCCTCGGTCTCGGAGGTGAAGCTGTCTCGGCAAGAGACGCCAACCACTGGGGCAAAGAAACCAGAATCATTATTGGTTACGGTCCCTGCGAATGCACCATTGGATGCACAGTCAATGCCAGCGCTGCTACCGGCCGAGATTATCTCTCCATTGGCCCAGGCAACGGCGCAGCCATGTGGATTGCCAACCCGAATGACCACAACGAGCTTGTGCCAGTCGGCGCTGTGGGCGAGCTGCTCGTTGAGGGACCGATTGTCGGGCAGGGCTATCTCAATGACCCCGAGAAGACTGCTGCTTCTTTCATTAATGATCCACCTTGGTTGGTTGCAGGCCACAAAAACTACCCTGGTCGTCGGGGCCGTCTGTACAAGACTGGAGATCTTGGAAGATATGATCCCGATGGTCTTGGTGGTATCGTTTTCGTTGGACGAAAGGACACTCAAGTCAAACTGCGCGGACAACGTGTCGAATTGGGAGAAATCGAGAGTCAGCTAAAGGCTGTTCTGCCTTCAGAAGCTAATGTCATTGCTGAAGTGATTACCCCCAAGGATTATGGAGGTCAGCCAATGCTCGTCGCGTTCGTTGCCTTCCAACCAAAGGGACATGGACAGGCCGAGCTTGCCTTGGATGACATCTCAAGCGAATTAAGTAGCGTATTGACAAAGGCCAATGCGGACGTGGCGAAGACTTTGCCACGTTACATGGTGCCAACCACATATATCCCGGTTAATCTTATGCCGGTGTTGATTTCAGGCAAAACTGATCGCAAGCAACTCCGAGCATTTGGTGCGACAGTTGATCTGCGCCAGCTAGACCAAGGAGCTGCAAGCACCGCTTCCCGGGAACTGAATGAGCTTGAGAAGCGCCTGCGACAGGCCTGGGCCGAAACACTCAAACTCGATGCAGAAGCCATTCGCCCCGATGATAACTTCTTCGCCCTGGGTGGTGACTCCTTGGCAGCGATGAGACTCGTGTCTGTCTGCAGAGCGCAAGATCTCGACCTTTCTGTCATCAGCACTTTCGGAAACCCTACCCTCTCGGCGATGGCCACTGTCGTTCAGCCTTGCAGCTCTCATGTACAGGAAGATATCCCGGCATTCTCTTTAATCTCCCAATCTGTTGAGAGTGCTCGCCTCGAAGCAGCACAAGCTTGTGGGGTGGATCAAGAAGACGTGGAAGATATCTACCTTTGCACACCCACACAGGAGTCACTGTTCACCTTCTCGCTCAAATCGACAAAGGCGTACGTTGCTCAAAGAGTCGCATGTATTCCGTCGGATATCACCCTGGATGCTTGGAAGAAGGCCTGGGAAGATGTTGTTGCAGCAAGCCCTATCCTGCGATCTCGTCTGGCACCGCTTCAAGACCCAGGTCTCCAGCAAATTGTTGTGAAGGAAGGCATCTCCTGGAGATACTCCACAGATCTGAACCAATATCTCGAGAACGACCGAAGCGAGAAGATGAACCTTGGACAAAGTCTGGCTCGATACGGCCTTGTCAGCAACGAGAATGATGACAAGCGGTATATGATCTGGACTGTCCACCACGTTCTCTACGACGGATGGTC